CTTATTCTCATAACCATCTTATCAAGAATTCGATTCGATTTGCAGGATCTTGGTGGCTCTTCTTACTGTTTTCGAAAGGATAGGAGACATCATTGTATCATGGTTAGTACTACTTAGTAGTAGATCATTTGATACTTTTGTATCAAACCTTTTGATTCATCTAACCGTAGGTTACCACTCTACGGTGAGATCAAAATCGCTCTTCTCGTCTACTTATGGTACCCGAAATCACAGGTCATACTACAATGCAAGAAAAATCTCATGAGCATTCATTCTTTGATTCACAAAACCAATCTTCTTCTCTTGGTTTCTGACAGGGACTTAGCTATGTCTATGAGAAGCTACTATGTCCATACATGTCAAAGCATGAATCGGACATCGATCAAGGAATCTCCGTCTTAAAGATAAGAGGACATTTAGTAATTGCTCAACTACTGCAATGTGGCTTCCACTGGAGCCTCCAAATCTTCAAGCAATTGCAACAACAATTCACCATCGATAAGGTTTAAAACAAACATATACATTCTCAAATCCCATTTCATGAAATCAAGAAGCTACTCTCACCAAATCCTTTCACTTCTTTATCTGCAGAATAATAACCCATCAAAGTCAAAAGATCAACCACAAACAAGAACTTCGTTTATGTTTCTCCGTTAGAAGATACTGCTCTACTCTAAGCCACAATCTCAATAACCGGGTTTTTATCCGCCGGTTCACCGGAATTGGCAGCCAAACCGGAGTTTCTACATGATTCAGAGTTCAGATTGACCTGACCACTACTAATAATTGACGAACGAAAGAAAAAGATTTTGAAGAATTCAGAAATCGAATTTTTTTCATTTTACATATTTTGAATTTTATTGTATACAAACAGATTTTTGTTCAATTCATGAAATCCAATTATTATCCAATTTCTCTTCGAGAATTTTATCCCCAAATCAAAATTTATATGAACTATTTGACAATCAAAGGAACACGAATCGATTGAAAAATCCAATCAAATACACGTCTCAAGAACCGAATTCCGGCGGATAAATGAATCCATACACGGCGGAGGAATTGAGAACCAGCAGAATCCTCCGACGAAGTAAGCACCGTTGGTTGAAGATAAGACAAAGCAGCTTTCTTAACGAGACGGTTACGAATCGAGATATCTCCGGCGGTGGATGTAACCGGAGAGAAGCTACCGTTGATCGTCGGTAAATTGAGTGAAGAGTTACTCGGAGAAGAGATGATATCTCTGAGAGAAGTGTAAGCTACGAAAGAGGATGGTTTTATGGAGATGAGCTCATAATCGAACGAAGACGGCGGCGTTGAAGCCATGTCGAAAGGGATTTCGGGAGGAGTCAAAGTCGTCATGGTGGATATGGATTTTGTACGACGGAGTGGCGTCGCCGGAGATTGTGACGGCGGAATCTCCATAGTCTTCTCTTTTTGTTTTTGTGGCTGATTAGGTTTGTGAGTGTGTAAATAAGGAGGTTCAATAATTGATCTCTATAATATGAACATTAGTCACTATCTTGTGTATATTATTAATACTTAATTTGTATTTTCTTAATTATTATGATTGGAAGATAGACAAATTACAAAATTTAAGGATTGTTTACTATTCTTTGTCCATTATTCTATTTTTGATGAGAAGATTAGATGGAAATATATTCGGAATCCAACCAACATAATGAAAACCAATGTAGACTTTTTAACATTTTGATATACTACTAATTATTAAAGTATGATGATCCACTTATTCACTTACCGCGTCAAACGGTGTCGTTCCGGTACATCGAACATTCCACTGCTTTTCAACTGTACTAAAGAAAAATCTAGAAACAGCATTTGGTTTCTCTCTATCCGCTTTGTCTCTCTCTCTCACGCCCTCACGTTTGTCCACCTCATCATAATCGAAACCAATCACAAGAACCCTTTTTTAGAGTACTGTAACTAGTGACGCGGAGAGAGAGAGAACACAGTCACAGAGTTATGTCAATGGCGTCTATAGCTTCTTCTTCCACCACCACCCTTATCTCTTCCTCTAGGGTTCTTCTTCCCTCCAAGTCTTCTCTTTTATCTCCCGCCGTGTCTTTCCCCCGAACCTTCGCATCATCCTCTTCCGGATTCTCTCGTCTCGTTCCCCTAACCTCCAGACTCTCCGCCTCACGCCGGAGCTTCGTCGTCAAGGCACAGGCTGTAAGTTGACTCGCATTGCCATCAATTTATCGTATTTGCTCCCTGTTTTGGGTTTTGAGATCTTTGGATAAAAAACTAAACTTTTTAGAGTTCTGCAACTGTGGAAGTCTTGAATTGAGCGACATTTTGATTACCCTTCTTTTTGAATTACTGTAATTGCAAATGGAGAAAGTGCCCTGAATTTTGTATAATTGACTCATACACAGAAATCTTTTGAGCCGTACTTAGCGAAATAAGACCAGCTAAAGCCTAAAGCGCTTATTTTTGTGGCAGAAGTTAACAACTTTATGATCAATGTGTGACGAGTTTTATGAATTCAGGATGATTTACCATTGGTCGGTAATAAGGCGCCTGATTTTGAGGCAGAGGCAGTTTTTGATCAAGAGTTTATAAAGGTACTTTCACTCCATATAACCTTCTTTAACATGTGTTTAGACCAATTCTGGTGCTTCCAGTAGCTTAGGTCAATGCAGTAGAGGAATGTTGTGATAGTAATCGACCTATTATGGTTTCAGGTGAAGCTCTCTGAGTACATTGGGAAAAAGTACGTGATTCTATTTTTCTACCCATTGGACTTCACTTTCGTTTGCCCCACAGGTTAGTATTGCTGAGGAAATAGCTTCAAAACTGAAACTCTCGCCTCAAAGTCACTGAATTTTCCTATTTTTCTTTGCTTATTCTAGAGATTACTGCCTTCAGTGACCGTTATGAAGAATTTGAGAAGCTAAACACCGAAGTATTAGGGGTCTCAGTCGACAGTGTGGTATAGTATTTATATTTTCTCCCCCTGACCCTTGTGGTCTCAGCATTTTGAGAAATGGTTTTAAGTATTTGATGGACATAAGTTGGAATTTGAAAATGGCTAATTTTAGTCCTAGCTTTGGCAAGTGGCAGTCTGATAATCAATTGATCTCATTTTCTTTTGGATAATGCAACGCTTGATTCAATGTTCATGTAGTTCTCGCATCTCGCGTGGGTCCAAACAGACAGAAAATCGGGTGGGCTCGGTGATCTGAATTACCCGCTTGTTTCAGATATCACTAAATCCATTTCAAAATCGTTTGGAGTGCTCATCCCTGACCAGGTAAACGATTTCTTCCCACATAGTTGCATCTACTTGCATTGAGTCCAATCCACTTGTGTTCTTTAAAGTAGCAACAACTTTCAGCCACTTTGAATTGAAGCATTTTGCTACATACAAGTACAGGGCATTGCACTGAGGGGACTTTTCATCATCGACAAGGAAGGAGTCATTCAGCATTCCACCATCAACAACCTTGGTATTGGTCGAAGTGTTGATGAGACAATGAGAACCCTCCAGGTAAATAAAGAACAAAAACAACATTGAGATAGATAGAAAGAGATATGTTTTTTGCGGTTTAGGGTTTAGATGCGTTACGTGTTGCTCCTTGCGATGTTGTCTTGCAGGCATTACAGTATGTTCAAGAAAACCCGGATGAAGTTTGCCCTGCGGGATGGAAGCCCGGGGAGAAATCAATGAAACCTGACCCCAAGCTCAGCAAAGAATACTTTTCAGCTATCTAGAAGCTAAAACTGAACAATTGTTTGGTGAAAATTTGCAAGCAGAGTTGTTTTATTAATCTTTTCTAAGTTGGAGCAGAGTTGTTAATTTTCGCCAAAGAACCTTTGTATCTCATTTTTCTGCTATGTGATTCTCCTGAAATTGAATAAAAGATAAAAATAAATCTTCTCTTTCTTTTTTCCAATGTTGATGTCTTTCACTTCTGTAAATAGTTTATACTAATCCAAAGAGGCAGAGTATTTGACCAAGGCAACATAAATTAGAAAAATAACATGTGAGGTCACAGGTCTCTGGAATTAGACAACTATCTGATTGATTTGTTTAATAAACTTGAGTGCTCATTAAGCTAATCTCCATCTTTAGCCGACAACAAAATTAAGTTGTAGTATACGTATTACACGGAATATTCTACAATCGGATTACTAAAAAATTATCGTATGATAACTTTCGTTAAAAGAAAAATTTTGAATTCTTAAAATAAATATATCTTGACACGAGAAAAAAGGAAAAACACAATAGAAGGTATGAATAAAAAATATTAGAACCAAAAAAAGAAAAGGATCGTTTTGTCATTTGTTGATAATAGGCCCTACCCTTCATTTTTTCCATTAAACCAAAATGTACAAAGACAAGTGGGGATGATGGGGTTTGGTATATACGCGGTTAGCAGTTACCCACGTGGTTTATCCACTTCACACATTTAACCACCCCTACAAAATAATGTTATCAAAACGACCCCAATACTTTCTTTTGTCTTCTTTCCGACCTTTCCTTCTGATGTTAAAAAACTTTAATTCCGCTGTACACTGCTTTTACCCAAAAATAAACTCCCCATATTATATTCTTACGTAGCGGTAGCAACCTCCGAACCCGGTACATAGCTGAGCCGGTCCACTTCATCCCAAACCAATTTCGAGGTTATCTCATCGAACTCCGGTTCATATTCCTACAACAACATGAACCATGTCCACAAGTATATATTGGTATGAGACTTTCGATTGTTAAAACAAAAATTCACATCTATGAATGTAGTAAATTCAGTATACCTCGAGTTGTCGAACCAACTCTTTAGCGTTTGGAGCTGAGACAATGATTCTACGAGCCATTGGGGATATAAATCCTTCGTCCACAGCCTTATCAATAAACGTTAACAGCGAGTTGTAGTAACCATCCACGTTAAGAAGACCCACCTGTCAAAAATTATTGACAAATAATAATGTTAGAACCAAATTATTATAAATAGTATAATAGAAAGATTACGACATGGGAAGCTTCCGGTCTCACAATCAGGGGTTTTGTAGTCGTACGTCGTGACAACACATCGTTTTTTATATTCATGCATATACCATATTACATGCTCTTAGAATGTGTACATTTTAATTTAAAATGAGAATAGTACAAAACAGTTTAGGAGGTATAAAGAATCCCAAAAGGAATCTTGTTCCATGTGATCATTACGACGTACCATATAGAACCATTTGTATCTTCTTCATTCAGTCAAATTAAACCACACATTATATGAATATAAATTCTTTTTAAGGTTTTAAATATGATAAAAAATATCCAACACGCATATTCCGGTCGTAATTCATAACAATAATGCAAGCTCATATCTTACTTTAAAATTAATTATATAATCCTTAAAAAGTTAAACGAGAATTTTAATTTTCCCTGATTACGTACCGGCTTACGGTGGATACCGAGTTGAGCCCATGTAATGACTTCCAGCAATTCTTCCAACGTACCATACCCACCTAACATTTTACCAAAAAAATTCATTTGACATATTTTAGATTTTAGTTATAAATTCATTTCTAATGGAATTGAGCTTACATGTAAAGAATTGAATTACAAACCAGGAAGGGCAATGAAAGCGTCAGCTTGACGAGCCATTTCGGCTTTTCTTTGATGCATATCGGCGACGGCTTTCACTTCTCCGATAGTCTCGCCGGTTATCTACAAATTATTATTAACATAACTTTTAGATAGTTTTCTTTATTATTGCCTCTAAAATGTGAACACCGCAAAACATCTTACATATTGCATGGTCTTTTTATTGTGGGTTTAACATATAAATATATTAGTTGGTCAAGGAGATGTATCGTGAAGGAAACCAAAAAACGCTCCAAGTCTCAATCATTCCTATTTTGGTCCTACCACTATTTTATGTAGATCATTACAAGGCAATTTCTATCTCAATAATACTATATATATATGATACCAAGTCCAACAAAAAATGATATTTCATTCAGTAGAGCTTTATTTGGTGCATACCTCTCTTGGCATCAAGGTTTTTGGAATGACCCTACAAGAGATAAGATAATATACCGGTTAAGAATGATGTATACCAAAAAAAAAAAAACTTGTTTGGATTTCTATCTACAATTAATTAGAAAGAAAAATGAAAGTTAGCCATTAATTTGGTATAGATAGATAATTAACAAACATAATTAAACTAGTTGGTTGATCAAAAAAAAAAAAAAAAACTAGTTGTAGGCTTGTAGCTTGATTTTAGTAAATAATTTAAAAAGCAAAGAGACATTTTGGACAAAGGAAACATGCACAGATCCTTTTTTGTCGTTGTTATGTTACCTCTCTAATTAAACCCAAGTATCTCTTCATATAACAAAAAGATTAATCAATTTAACAAATTCTATGCGACAAAAGCAATAGGTTAGTAGGCATCATGTAGATAGTCATAATCAACGGTCAAATGTTTAAAACACAATGATGATTTATGGTTACTTGGAACTAGCAAATGCATCATCATATGAAATTATGAATAGAGAGAGAGAACAAACCCTAGAACATGACGACCACCATGATGAACAGCTTGAGAGACGAGACCCATAAGCCCCACGCTACCACCTCCGTATACCAAATCAATCCTTCTCTCCACCTTCAACCACATTCCCACCATCTTTAATTAATATTAATATTGTAGTATACATTATTTATGATAACAGAGTTTTCATGATGAAAATGAACACGTGTCACAAACCCAAATCCACAATCGACCCCCAAAAAGAAGCAACCACATCAAATATCAAATCTCAATTAAGAGAAAAGGAAGAAAAAAAGATAGCTCATCATCATCATCAATCCTAATTTCAATTGTCCCCATCCTATTAATACTACTATTAATACTATCTATTTTTTTTTTTTGACAGCAACAAATACTATCTATTTATTACAAGATGATTCTAATTATTTTTTATTATTCAAATATTTTTAGTGTTGCTTGAAGAAGTACACCCCACAACACACGCTTTGTACATAGAGTCATTATTCTTCCAACGAACATTTTTTTTGGTTTTCATTTCCCCTCGAGGCAATAAAAAAACTGTCATTATTATTTATCTTCCCCGTAAACAAAATCATTGGTTGGAAACTTAAGTTTTAGGTTTAAGAAAAATCATAGGAAACCTCAGAGTAATGGAAAAACAAGATATATGTGTGTAATAATGTAAATCACTGAAAATACAAAAATTTATCTGAAAAAAGAAGAGATCATGCAAGAGTGCTGCTCGAGTGACAGGCGGGTTACAGCTAAGCATAGTAGAAATTACTATTTTCTCATCTCTCTCTCATGCCAATAACAATAAACGATAACACAAATTCGAATTTTCACCCCAAAAAATTAAATGAAAATCAGCATCCACACGTTTGGTTGATTCATCATTGTTCGTTGCAACACACAATCAAAACCACATAATAGCCAATGTTTCAAAGAAGATTTTGAGTTCGTATGTCAAATCAAATCTTCATTTTGAGTTCATATTATATACCATCATATAGTTTTGAATCCATCATATATCCCTTAACAAACAAATATTCAAAAAAGAGAAAAAGAAGTATACTTGTGTTGAGTTGTGAAAATGAATGTATATATAAACTATAAAATAAACATATGTGAGTGAGTAGAGAAAAAGTTGAAGAGAAAACGTACCAACTCGTTACCCAATTGAATGGCAGCTTCTTGGTATGAAGGTTTTTTGCCAGAACTGCTTCCACAGAAGACACAGATCCTCTTGAATCTCGATTTTGTCTCTTCCATATCTCTCTCTCTCTTTTCTCTTTGTTACTTTGTCTCTCTCTCTCTCTCTCTGGAGCTTTAAAGTTGGAAATTCTATATGATTATTATGATGAATGAGACCACACTTTGGAATTGTGTTAGTATTTATATATAGAGAGGAGAAGTGGGAGAATATAAATGCAAATGCGATTCCCATGCCCTGCCCCCTTTTATTAATTACTAGTATTATTTTTCCTTTGTTTCCTATATATTTTATTTTATTTTGTTTTGTGTTCTCATCTCGCAGAGAATTAGGTTAACTTTTCCTGTATTATTTAATTTGTAGTTTGAATATTCCATGGATACTCTCTAAAACTAGCTAAAACACGGCTTCAAAATATTTATTTATATCTTGTTTATCAAGGAAACTGTGTATATAACATTTTTATTATACTATAGACTATAGTGTGTTATTACGAATTTCTTAATTTTTAGATATTGTAGTATAATAGATTTGTTTGAAAAGTCATTTCGTGTCTGTATACGGCCGTGATTTATAATATGATCTCTATTTATATTTTATTTATTTATGTGTGAAAGATTAGATTAGATCTAACACAGGTTGGAAGATCTGTTCAGATTGTGTATCTGATTAGTTCACTACTAACCAGATTCATGGATCATGTTTTTCTTTGAACATTTCAATTTTTCTCAAACTATTAATTTTCATCTTACTAAAAACTTATGTATCAGATTTTGTATCTGAATTAGTTCAATACAACCAGATTCATGGATCATATATTTATCTATTTGAACATTTCACTTTTCTCAAACTAGTAATGTCCATCTTTCATCATGAGCTCCAAAGTGTTAAGTTAGATACCTAAAACTTACTATTTTGAGATCCAAAACATAAAACATGTACCGTTAGGATAAGTTAGAAGAACATCTTCTGTGTAGAGTAAACATAATTATAATTCTACGACTAGAAAGTATTCACTTTTCCAGTTAATGCAATTTGGTCATTTAATATATAATTTACGTACACGTTGTAGACTTGACAACCACACGAAGAAGAAAGAGGTTAGTTTTCTAATCGAGGTTTAGACATTTATATTTGTAAATTATAGCTAGTTGTCTCACTGATCTGATTTGGTTTCGATTTGGTTCGATTTTTAACTATATTGGTCAAGAGGACATATAGATAGTCAAATACGTAAGAAAAATACTGTTTAGTTTTTTCGATTTCGATTCCTTTCGTTTGTGGTTTTGAAACTTGGATTTGAGAAGAAAGTTTAGATTTGCACTGGAACATATGTTAATTCGATTACGAAAAAAATGTTAGGGGAATGACAGGGAAGCGTGACGACTAACAAAACTCGCAAGACTTTCCGGAACTGCAACTCTATATTAGGAATGTAGTCTAATTTAATCCAAAAACTAGCTCAAGAGTTAAGGGTTATCACATCCTATATATATTATTCAAAGATCTTAATCTCAAGCAATGTGAGACATTCTAATAGGTTTCCTCAAGATGTGGGTGGGAAACGGTCATACGGGAAACACCTCAAACCCAACATCTCAGAAATACAACAAGACATGCCACTTATATGGGTCACATAGGTGGAAAACCATTTTTTGTGAGAAATTTGTTTGTTGAGCCAACCTTGGGCTCTGATACCATATTAGGAATTTGGTCTAATTTAACCCAAAAGTTAACTCAAGAATTAAGAGTTAGCATATCCTATATATATTATCCAAATATTTTAATACCAAGCAATATAGGACATTCTAATATTTTAATGACCCATCGAATAACCTCGACTACAAATTATATTTCTTTCTTTTTTTGCTAATCAGATTACTCGGAATAGAAAACCTCATTATAAATTTTAATTCTATAATTGGTTTATTTATTAAATTAAAGTCTGGCGAGGTGTCTCGTAATCACTTATTTAGTTGTTCACGTCTTTATCAAATTTCCACCCTCTAAAGCAATAGTCCCTTAATCACATTTCACACCTACATTGTAAATAATAATATATTTTTGGTTTATCATAAGTATATTTTTTTGCCAACAAGAAATTATTTGTGTGTATGTATATAAATCGACAATGCATAAAACGGATATGAAAAATAGTATATAATCAACATTATTTACAAAAAATCCATCTACAATTACGTAGTGCAAGAATAGTTTTTCATTAGTAAGGTAAAAATATTTATATATATATAAGTACTTATTAGTTTATATATATATATATATATAAATATATATATAAGATATTGAATAGATAATATATATATATATATATATATAAATATATATATATAAGATATTGAATAGATAAACAGCTGTAAGCTGCAGATGTAATCATCCAACTAATTTGGATGATCCTTACATCGAATAGAATCCTAGAGATAAGAGTGCTTATTACTACCTTTCTACCTTACTTTTCCAAGAAGGCGTAGTCTGATTTTTTTGTTAACGCAAATCATAATTAGAAAGTGATAATGTAAGTATATTCCTAAAGATTTCTGATTAAAGACAATGTATGATCAAATCAAGTATCTATTACCTTGGATGATGCTTCTTTTTTTTGTCAACATCAAGTATCTAAACTTATGGTTTGCATAACTGATCGAACTTATGTTGGATTTTAGGTTACGAATAATGTCAATATTTATATGTTACTAATTATTAAACAAGATCGAAAGACCTTAAAATAAGTATATCAAAGTCGCTTTCGTTAAGATATCACGATGATCAAGCAGATTGTATGAGCTGGTGATACATATAATAAAATTAGAAAGAAAACTCATACCATCTTTGATCACTTAGATTCAAATATTTGTTAATAAAACGAAAGATACTTCGTTGTTTTTATATATTATTAATACAAGTTTAAGATACTTTCATTGTTTCTAATTATCTTCCATCTTCTTTCTAATTTTCTTTCGAACCATATTGTCTAAACATAGAGTATTTGATGCTGAATTGATGATGCAAGCAAAATAATGAATCAAGAAACATATTGGGCCTTTAAGACCCATTTAAGTTGCTTTCCATAGCCAGAGTTGACGGCCCATTAATCACTCATTGGGCCTTGAAGACCCATTTAACTTACGCAAACGAACGACTCAGGGAGTTCACTGGAGTGGCGCCGACCGAGTCATCGCCGTTGCCAAAACCCCAACGATCAGAGAGACATGGAGGAGACAAAAGATGATTACAAATTCCTGAGAATTCAAGACGCTTTCAAGGCATTGCATCTTCATGTTAACCTCATTGGAGTCATCGTCGAGCTAGGATTCTCCAATGGCTCTGGTACCGTGATCCTCTCCCAAAAACCTTAGCAATTTCATTTCACAGCTTCGTTTTTATACTTCCGATTGATGAGATTTTGTTGCAGATTGTTCCCGTACGCTTAAAATCGTTGATCCATGGCATTCGGGATCTGGCCTTCCCGTTAAGTTCGTCGCTCGTACCATTGGAGCGCTTCCTCGTGTTGAATCGGTCGGAGATATCATCTTTCTTTCACGTGTAAAGGTTGATACACCATTCCTATGGCTCTTGGAGATATTGTTCAACAATTTAGTCCTGGGTTTAAACTCTTATTTCTTAACGCAGATTGTGCTGATTAATCGGAAAATCACAGCTCTTTGCAATGAAACATCTTCTTCGTCTTTTGCTCTGTTCAATGGGAAACATGGCGTGGATTTTATACCTTACCAAGCATCACCTAAATTTCTGATGAGAGAACATGATAAGAACTTCTTATCAAATCTGAGAGAGTGGATGATAACTTACAAGTTTGAAGATGGTAATTATGATATAATCTCATTACTAGTGAATTTTATTATTCTCTCAAGTCTCTATATTGGTTGCTTCTTATTTAATCTCAAATGGGCCCCTGTGTCTTGGTAAGGTTCGATTGTTTAAAGGTTTGTTTTGTTTTATGATAGGGTCATGCTGTTTCACATCCCTGAAAGATATCAAAGAAGGGGAATGTTCAAACCTATCTTGCCTGGTAGATTGATCTTTCCTTAAAAGAATATGTTTATTTGTCTTAAAGTAGAGAGTATGGTCTGCTATGTCTTTGACATTGTCATTCTTTGTTTCCTCTGAAGATTGTTCACATTTCCAAGGTCTATAAAGATAGGTGGTACATCTTTGTTTGGGATGGAACTGAGATGCCACCATGCAACATCTTGGTAAAGTAAGTGTGTATTTCCTTATCTGAATACAACGAGTACAAAGAAGCTTCTATTTTGCGTCTTATATATTCATTTCCTAGCATATATCCCAAACGTTTTACTCGTCTCACTCTTGAAAGCTTAGTGTTTTGGCTTGCAATTTGACATCATAACAGGTCAGAAAGGCTTCCTTTATGTGTCGAACCTGAGATGTTGCCTACATACATGTTACGTAAGTTTCCTACTTTTGGTTCCGTCTTGAGGATCCTAGTAGATAGAGTTAGTGAGAAGCAGGCCATTCACTGTCTTCAACCTGGTCAACACGTGAAGCTTCTGAACCTTTTCTTTCAAGTAAACATGGGATTATGGAACGCCACTTTTACTCCCTCTACAAAGATGCAGTACACAATGAGCAGAGAGTTGCAAGCTTTTAGTCCTCAAAGGTTTCTCTAACGCTTTTTCTTATCCTGTGGGTTGATGTTATGCATAGTCCGTTTGTTTATCAGCTAAAACACACACTTTCTTACATATTCAGAATGTATGGGGAGAAGTTGTCATCGAGATGGAACCCCATTGCACGTTGCATTAGTCCTTCACATTCAGGAATCACAGGTAATAATCAGCTCATTGTTCTGAATTGTAGAAACTTGGCATAACGCTGACAATTTTGTGGTACTAATGGTTCAGTCCTTTTTAGGGGTTGCCCATGAGGACGCTCCGTTTGTTTCTCTGATGGACATTCTGACCTATCACAATGTAATGTATCCAAATAGCTTAGATTTATCATAAGTTGTGGGAAAAGAGAAGTGAAAACTTTCTTGAATTGATGTTTAGTGATGCTTATGCAGGTGACTGCTAAATTCAGGTGTGTTGTTCGGTTCATACAAGTGTATCCCCCAGATGTCAGAAAACTCCGCGATTCCCACGGAAATATCAAACTGCTAGCTATACTAGAAGATGCAACCGCCAGAATCCACGCTTCTCTATATGCTGCTGAAGGGGTACGTAAAACACTATTTATAGTTGAGTACTTGAGTTCATTGAAGGATTGTCAAATATTTATATCTGCAAATCTATTGATAGGAAAAGTTTTTCGGGTGTGAAGACGAATCTGATGAAGAGTCCCTGGTCAAGAAGCTGAATAGATTGTTGGGAGGTGAGGAGATGGAGCAAGTGCCAAGAAATCCTCCATGGGTACAATGTTGCCTGTTCTCATTCTACAAACACAAAATGGATCAATGGGGAAGCAGAAGATTCCGGATTTTTGATACATGGATCAATGCTTCATGAGACAAAAAAAATAATGCTAATTGAAGTGAGAGATTAGGAAAGTATCTAAAGTAATGAGTTACTATTTCAAGTTTTGATCTTAGGTATATGTAATGATTTAGCCAGTTTTAGTAGTAGAAAATCTGTATTTTCTGCAATGTGCTGTTCAAAATTGATTTTTTGTGTACACTTTCGAGATCGTATTTGGGAATGTATTTGGTTTTAATAAATTAAAATCAGAGGAAAAAAATATATTTTCAATTTCAGTTTCATTTGCTATTTACAGGATTGAGATTTAGAAACTCATTTTAATTAGTGTAATAGTGTAATCACTACGTTTAACAAAATCGAAAAAAACATTGATAGAGAGTTGATCCTTAGATCATTGTGATTTGATACCCATTATAATGTGAGAATTTAGGTTTGATATAATTAATATTTATGTAAAGTTAATACACAAAAGATTCGAATAACTAAATTGCTAGATGTGAGAATTTATTAATTTATGTATAAATTAATATTTATAATGTGAGATATTAGGATTGAGAGAATTAATATTTGTGTTGAACGTTTAGGAATGGTCATTACAAGCATGACAACCAGTGTTTTAAAAAGCGGTTTAGGCGGTCGCTTAGATCTCGCTTAGGCAGTAGGCACTCAGGTGATGCCTAGATGACCGTTTTGGCCGCCGAAAATCGCATAAATTTTGTTCTAGTGTATTAATATTTAGTGGCAATAATAAGTATTATATGTTTTCAAAAACATCGAAATTAATTAAAAAGATTGCTAAATTAACTACAACTATTATAATTATTAAAAAAATAAACAAAAACAAAAAAACTATATTGACAAAAAAATAAAGTAAAAATAAGCAAAACAGAAGCAAAAACTTTGCGATTGGCGTCATATTCACAAGAATATATGTCAACTTGTTGTAACCGGCATGATTTAAAAAGGGTGATTTTGAAAATTACCCTGTTTTTAAGTTATACTTTGAAATATAACCTTTTTCTATATTTTTAAAATAAAAACTACAATTATATATAAAATGATAATTTTTTCAAATTTAAATTTAAAGCTATATTTAATAAATAAATAAAATTCAAAATTCAGAGAAAAATATATACTAAATTCGAAATAATATTAATCATGGTTATATATAGTTATTTTACACAAAAGTAGTTTATTTATTTTATATATTAAATTTTAACGAGATTATATTTTAAAATATAATAAAGTCTATCGCTTAATATCTATCATATTATATAAAAAAAAATCTCCAACGTAGCAAACATATCTTTTAACTCAACATACTACCAAAGTTTGCTTCAATTAAACGATTCTCTTTGATTTTTTTTTTTGCAAAGTAAACTATTTTATTTGTTTTCAATAATAATGAATCATTAAAATCTGTACCATATGACTTAACAAAAAATCATGACTTAACATTGGTAGAATGCTATTATTCATTATTGTTCTGAAAAAATATTTAGGATAATGAATCTTTGGAACTATTAGTTATATAACATGCAAAGTTACAAAACAACATCTATGGTGAAAAACGAACATGATTTGGTCAACGGACAACTTTGTTTAGATATTTAGTTATTACCAATTAATTGATTTCATATTAAAAAATATAGATCCTTTTGCTTAATTATTATTAAGATTCAATAAGATTTTTTTAGTAATTTTATATATTTAAAAATTGTTTTTAAAAGAAAAACAAAGAGAGGGTATTTTTCAAAAGTGAAAACAAAAAGAGGGTATTTTTCCAAATTTACTCGAGAAAGGTCTTGAGATTTCGTTTGGGAAGCTGCTAATTGATGTTTCATACAAAAAAATATATTAATTTAAAGAATGTTCCATTTATCAAAGTGTTTGATATGAAAATTGAAAGTTTTAGAAACAAACAAATTTATATGTCAATTAAGTTATGAGCATCCAATTAATTATATAAAATATAAAGATTTAATATGTGATTCTTATTTAATAATATATAAAAATAATGTTTTTGCTTATGTTTTGCTTATTTTTACTTGGATTTTTTTTGTCAATATAGTTTTTTTTTGTTTAATTGTTTCGTAATTATAATGGTTGTAGTTAATTTAGCAATATCTTTAATTAATTTTGATGTTTTTGAAAACATAAAATGAGATAGTGAAACTTTTCTTTTAAATATATGATTTAATTCTCTCTTTTAACCGAAAGAAACATTCAATTCACTCTTTATCAAAACAAATATTCAATTCTCATTTTGGATTAGTGTAGGATTAGTAATAATTCAAACCTATCTTGTTTTGGTTTTATCATTCATGTTTGTTTGCATTTATGGAATTGGAAGTGTCTTCGAGTAGAGATTCGGTGGATTGCCGGATACGTTGAAGTTGAAGACGGTGGTGTCTTGGAGGATAAAGCGTGGTTTTGATGTTTGAAAGATTGCCAAAACTAGGAGAATTACGAGAAGGATTATGAAGAAGATTATTATTATTGGCCACGTTACACGGCGGATGATTTTACGGTTGCATGATGATGAGTGGATGTCGTGAGAGCCACAGTCTTTTGAGGTCATATCGGAGCTCATTGACGGTGGTGTGGGAGGTTTGGTGGTAGAGAGAAAATGAGAAAGATATGCTTAAGTACTCTCGGTGGCCTTTTATATAAAAGAAGTGTATATAGTCTTTGTAGAAAATTTATTTTAATAACGAGAAAGTATGGATGTAAAGTATTAATTATGTCTCGAGCTATATAATCTCTAAATACTGTAATCACTAATAATTATTGTTTGATGATATAACAATCTGACCGACTATGTGATCATAATATTGTTTCTCTGATCTCTTGGCATTTGTTTGGACTGTAATCTTTCTCCATATATCTAATAACAATACGATCGTCTACCGACCATTTGATTCAATTTCGTATATAAATTTAATAACTAATTCTTATCTAATAATATATAAAAAATAAAGTTTTCGCTTATATTTTGCTTATTTTTACTTAATTTTTTTTTGTTAGTATAGTTTTTTTTGTAATTATAATAGTTGTAGTTAATTTAGCAATCTTGTTAATTAATTTTGATGTTTTTGAAAACATATAATGAGATAGTGAAACTTTTCTTCTAAATATATGATTTAATTCTCTCTTTCAACTTGTTTCAAAAAAAAAAAAAAATCTCTCTTTCAACCAAAAAAAAACATTCGATTTACTCTTTATCAAAACAAATATTCAATTCTCATTTTGGATTAATGTAGGATTAGTAATAATTGAAACCTATCTTGCCTGGTAGATTGATCTTTCCTTAAGGAAGATGTTTTGGTTTTATCATTCATGTTTATTTGTATTTATGGAACTGGAAGTGTTTTGACATTGTCACACTTTGTTTCCTCTGAAGATTGTTCACATTTCCAAGGTCTATAAAGATAGGTGGTACATCTTTGTTTGGGATGGAACTGAGATGCCACCGTGCAACAACATCTTGGTAAAGTAAGTCTGAACTGAGATGCAAGCTTTTAGTCCTCAAAGGTTTCTTCTGACTTATCATGTGAGTTGATGTTAATAGAGTTACTAACATTAACAAAATGTGTGGTAATGATAAACAAGTGATTATTTATTTACATAGAACCACACAATAAAATATTACATAAGAAAAATATCTCTCCAACAATGATAAAACAAAACAATCTAAACCCAAAAATAAGAATCAATAAACAAGTGTAATATGATGAATTCGAAGACTATATAAATGACATTAACTTTTGACTAGTCTCAAAAGTCAACGTCACACTTGGTCGGCTGAAACACAAACCCGCTGGTTGAATTAGAGGTAAGAGGAACCTTGAGATCACACTTGACCTTTGGCTTGAACCTCCACGACTTGATCAACCCAAACTTAAACCTAATCCTAAGTCTAAGCTTCGCATCGATCCTATAGATCTGAGAATTCACATCCTCGTTCAGATCCTTCCTCTCTCCGCCGTCAAGCATCACCAACTGCTGTCCCGAGAGTTTAGTTCCAACCACCGTCGTGTTCTTATGTCCCTGATAAAACTTCGAGATGTTGTTACTCATGCCAAATCGCTGATCACCGTAGTATCCTCTGACTTCGATTTCATCATAGTAAACACCGATCCGTCGATTAGGGTTACGGATTGTGAAATTGAGGTCGAGATTGTATCGGAGGTTGTTGGTTGGGTCGAGTGTGAATTCGGTGAGCTTAGCATCGGTGACGTGGAATTTGATAGCGTTTGGTCGGAAAATGAGCCAGATGATCAAAGCAGCTATGCCTAGTAAGACGGCTATGGTTATGAGGATGTTGAAGATGACGCTTAAGATACAGCAGCCGCAGCAGCCAAGACAGTCACCTAAACAACCGCATCCACCGCCGCGTCTGCCGCGGCTGTGTGAGACTTTCTTCGGCGGTGGAATCGATGGTCCGTAATACGCACCGTTTAAGTCCGCCATGTGTTCGTTAAAATGCCTCAGAGAAGAAATTAGAAAGAAAGTTTCTGCTTTGTAGAGATTTTGAAAAAAGTAATTATGATTTGAAGTGAAGAAGAAGAGGGCGTATATATAACAGCAACTGTAGAGATAACGTGTATTAGATAAAACGATTTAATTTTGACGCGGTTTTGTTTTTTCAAAGTCAAAGATGACGCGGCGGTTTAATATTGTAAGATGAGTTTGATTAATAAGTAGAGGTTACTTGCGAGATGCGACACCGTGTTATTAGATATTTACGATTAACAGTTTGATATACATTAAAGATTGATTCTTCTCCAATTTGACGATGGTCTATGTAAACTTTGGTTAAGCGTAATGAGATTATTTTCTTTAATCTATATATAGATGATTTGGTGATTAATTAATGAGGTTAGTATGAACCGCGTACAAAATATCTGTATATGTAAATATATATTTCTATATTCTTTTTGCAAATGTGAATATTTTCTATGTAAGATATGTATATGTGGGAATGTGATGATACTTAGTGCGGTGGTTGGTTTGTGAATTGTGAATTAGAGTCATTTTTACGATGTAATACAATTGGGAATAAGCTTCCGAGAAACTTCCCCAAAAGCGACTGCTCTGAGATATAGAGCCATTGTTTTCGAAACTTGACAGAAAGACTTTTGAGCAAAGACTTAGAATATGGGGGTAAAATATTGTGGGGCCGATTGGTAACGACTGTTATTTTCGGCTGTAAAAGCTTTCGCTGTAAGAACTTTGGCTGTAAAAACTTTAACTTTAGAGACTTTAACTATTAAAATGTGATTGGTAACAACAAAACTGTAGAAACTGTGGCTGTAAAAATTATGATTTTAAATCAAATAAATTACAGTGAATATAAACCCAAATTGTGATATAACAACGAAATTCATACAAAGAACTTAATGAAATTTTTTTATGCATTCATAATTTTCTATTTTTGTATCAAATATAATATCTGATGTTTTTTTATATACATAAATGGATCTTAAAAGAACAGAAAAAAAAATCAATTGTAAATTAGTTAATACTTTTTAAGATTAATTTTTCAATGAATTTTATTAGAGGTTTCATATAATGGGAAAAAGAAAATAAAAAAAAAACAATTAATTTTTATTCTTTTTACTTTTAAAGTCAGGTTTACGTGGCTTTAGAAAAAAATTGAATTTAAAGAGTAAAAAAGAAAGACTTTGAAGGGTTTAAAATTATTTAAAGCCAAAAAAGTTTGATTGGCAAAATAAAAACTTTAAAACTTTTCTAAAGCCTTAAAAGTGCTTACCAATCACCCCTTGTATCAATAAGCCTCTACAAGTTCGAAGATTACAAACCAGTGCCAGTCCAGAATTCCGAAATTATGTATAAAAATGATACAAATAAAAACTTTGATTTTGGTTTCCAAATGTTTCTTTTATGGGAAAATATGAGAACAATTCTATTAAGAAAAGTTATTTATCAATTAATGAAATTGTTTAATGTGAAAGATTTCACAATTTCAAAGAAAATTGTAATGTTTTAATGCTAAAAGCAAGGAAAACTAAGGGAGGTTGGTTTTGAAGTTAGATATGTGACCTGTAATTGTAAACGAAGATTAGGTGAAGACATGCTTTCAAATGTTACATCTTTCTTAAATGAGAAAAGTCAAGCATATTTAATAAAGAGTAATAATACTATATCGCAACTATGGAGAATTTAGAAATAATGGGGAAAACGGTCTATTTCCCCATGAGAAGTATGCGTATCACGCCAGATAGAGCCCATTCTTTGACCTCGGTCTATATGTCCATGAAACAAAAGTTAAATACCTATTTCCCCACAAAATGAAAGTTCAATAGCTAAATCTCCATGAATCGTGGTTACGTCGGTTTGGTGCATAAACCCGAGACGAAACCATAAACCCGACCTAATTCTAATACCCGACCCAATCCCAAACGCACCATAAATCAATCACCCAATTTCTTCTTCTTCTTCACTGAACCATTTTAATGGCTTCACCAACTGTACGTATAGATCCAATCAAACAATATAACATATATGACGATTGCTCATTCTAATCCTCTAAATAAATCACAAAACCCACCAAGAAATTGTGTCTTTGGCTTCGATTCCAAGAGTGGAATTGAGCAATTTCAATTCAATTTGTTGAACTTGATTGAAAAATTGAGCAATTTCAATTCAATTCAATTCCTTTATTTTTAGAGCAATTTTTAGAAAAATTGAGCAATTTCTTCCTCTTTGCTCAAGCTCTTGACGAAGCTCTGAAACCCATGTCGTGAAGTTGAATCGTCTTGGCGATTTTCTCATCCGGTTTCTATGTCCTAACAATTTTTGACAACAATTATGGGATTTGATGATATGTGAAAGCATATCCACTAGTGTCAAGCATATCCACTAGTATCAAGGAAATATAAAGGATTGAACTTGCGTAATGCTTCCCACGCTAAGCAAACCGCATCTATCAACGACGCGACGAGGTAAGCTATCAGAAGAAGAGTCATGATCTCCTGTGAAGATGACACAGTCAAGATCGGGAGTTTCCTCTTGGCTGGCTTTGACTGCGCATCAGAGCACTCTCTCGCCACTGCCACCGTCGTTCGTGTACGGATGGAAGAATCCCACCGCACGTTTTTTATTGTTTCTTGCATTGATCACGGAAAGTGATAAACTCGGAGATATGGCGAAGATGATCGTGAGAAGGGTACATAGAAGAATGAAGCAGATCGCCAAATAAGCAAGGAGATAACCCCTAAAGACTTTGCATTCGATCTACGATTGCAATCAAATCTCAAATCTACGATTGCTCATTTTGATTGGCTTGGGTTTGGTTGTAATTGAAATCGGGTCTGGGTCATGGTTATTTGCTGTGTAATCGGGTTTAATTTGGTTTATAGGTGATTTAATTTTGTTTTGTAAACAGTGAACCGACTAAAACCAAGATATGTGGGGATATAGGTTTCGAACTATTATTTCGGAGATATATAGGTTTCGAACTTTCGATTCATGGAGATACATAATGAGAAGTTTTGTTTTGGGGATCTCTAGCACGAGATTAAAGTTTGGGTTCTATCTGGTATGATATCATACTTCTCGTGGGGAAATAAACCGTTTTTCCGAAATAATATAATATCTAAAAGTATTCTTATAATAATATGATATTTATTACGTAATGTTTGAATAAAAATTTAAAAAATCAAGGTAGTCCTTGTTTAGGAAGTTTTTATCTCTTATAACCATCGTCATAAGTAAATACGGTAATTTAAAAAAAAACTGGTTAACAAACATTTTTTGAAAAACTTTAATTGAGTTTCATGCGATGTCAACTGTCAACGTGTCATAATTAAGCATTAAACTAAAATAAATTGAACAACAATTCTTTGAGGAAGAATCCGTCGATCTAAGTTGTTTGGACGAAATAGTCAGTCCAATGGACTTGAAAATGGAGGAACCGATCCCTATCGTTAAGAAATTGTGTCTAACAGTTGGATGTGCCACTAAAGTTCAAATGGATGTTGTCGCAAAAGATTTTATTCTACGGTTTGAAGGTTAGGCTTCACTTTTCTTTACAAAAGAAGAGGTTTTTTTTTTTTTCGTTACAAAAGAAGAGGTTAAGTTGCATATTTCTCTGTTGATGAACAAATTCAATTATTCAACTAGTATGAATCTTATGCCTGTGTTCAAGTCTTTATACATTGCACGATTAATGAAATGCATTATATATACTCCCTCCGTTTTTGAATAGTTATCGTTTTAGAGCTTTTTTTGTTTTAAATTAGTTGTCGTTTTAAGATAATAATGTAATTTATGTCAATAACTACCCAAATTACCATCATTTTATTGAACACAAATTATTTGTAAATAATTACTTGTCATTTTTATGAGGTTAATATAGTCATTGTATACCTTTTCTTAATTTGTCCAAATACAGTTAAAACGACAACTTTTAAAAAACAGAGGGAGTATATATATATGACATAAAACGGCAAAAAGGAAAGTTTATGTGGATAATTGAGTGTTTTTATCATATGGCGGATTACGATTAACAAATTTCCAGTTCAATGTATGGAATACTTTCAATTATAAATATGTTTATACAAATTGGATTCCGCGGCGTGTATATCACAAAGGAAACCAAACACGTGGGAGAGTTGGTAGACAAATGGGACAAAGAAGTCGTTCACAAACACATCTAATATTAGTTGGTAACGATCATTGCGTTATGCTCGAATTAAACCTCGCTCTTACGCTATATTTTGAATTCTTATATCGAGTTCTTTTTCTTTTTTTTGGGTGAGATACTGAAATATATTATATATACACATATCGAAGATAATAATAATAACAGCACATGTGGTGAATCATTTCGTTAATTTCTTCTCTCGGAGAAAGTGGATTCCAGCTGGAGAATACGCCTACAAATCTCTTGCAAAAGAGGCAACCTTCTTTTCTTTTCTGTTTTCGGGTAAATAGCTAGTCGAAGCAGTTGGTTATATTAACATGTCTATAAAATATAAAGATAAATTGACTTTATTTGTAACCAAAAAAAAAGATGAATATTCATGAGATTCGTACGTAAGAGAAAAATACCCTAATTCTTGTAAAATAAGCAACATGATTCAGCTTTTTCTCATTTCAAGATCCAAGAATATTTAGGAGACAAACTAACCAATATATTAATGAATAAAGGTTTTGATCAAGGTTTTTTCCTTTGAATGTACTTAATTTGCTGTAAAAAAAACCAACTTTAAGTTCTAAACTTTAATAGGAAATTGAAAAACTATGAGAATGGGTCTTGATTCTGGTTAGTTTAGAACGAAAAAAAAAAACTCAGGAAAGAAAAAAAAGATAAAGACATCTATGAATTCTAGACATTAGAGTATTAGACAATTGGACAATGACACCGTAACAGAAAGTCCACAAGCATTAACGAATGGTTATCATTCGATTAGATATTTCTAAAATTCAATTGTCGTTACTCTGGATCAGCACAAAATCATACTCAATGAAACAAGAGAAGATACAATATCACTATATAGAAAACTATATTTAGTTGAATGATCCATCATAAATTGTTACCAATTGAAATAAAATAAAACTTTGTTTTTGTCTTTTACTATATTGTATTTCTATTGAATCTCTTTACAGCTCGTCATAACAATAACGCAACCGATTGCAATTCTTGATATTATTTCTATATGACGTATGATTTTTTTAAAAAAACTTAATTGCTACGAAATTATAAAACTCTATTACGTAATTAATAATGAAAAATCCGTGACCTGATACCACCGTTACCGTTAAAGCTAAGTCTTCGCTTTTCAGACACTAACACTGCAAGTTGTGGTGAGCGTGTACTTAACGGCGTTATTTCCGACGATAACTCCGGAAGCACTATTCCCGAAGTTGATAAACGCCGGACATCTAACGTGGAGATGATATTTTCCGGTGATGAAGGAACCGACTTTCCAACGAACTCTGCCGTCAAGATGAAGCACCAACATAATCGTGCCACGTGTATGGTCCTGATCGAGATACAAGGCGTTGTAAGGAGCTACGGGGACAGAGTATCCACCGACGAAAGGAGACCAAACGTTGACTTCTTTGTGTCCTTGATAAGTCGTAGGCATAGAAGTCGGAAAAGTGATCTGTTGGCTCCGGTAAGAAGCGTAGACGTCAAGACGGTCGTAGTAGATTCCGATCTTGTCGTTAGGGTTACGAGAGGAGAGAGTCATTTGGAAATTTGAGGTGAGGAGGTTCGGTGGATTGCCGGAGACGTTGAAGTTGAAGACGGTGGCGTCTTGGAGGATGAAGCGTGGTTTTGATGGTTGAAGGATTGCCCAAACTAGGAGAATTACGAGAAGGATTATGAAGAGGATTATTATTATTGGCCAGATTACACGGCGGATGATTTTACGGTTGCATGAGGATGAGTGGCTGTGGTGAGAGCCACAGTCTTTTGAGGTCATGTCGGAGCTCTGGTGATGGTGGTGTGGGAGAGGTTTGGTGGTAGAGAGAAAGTGGAAATATATCTTAAAGTACTCTCGGTGGCCTTGATATAAAAGAAGTGTATATGTAGTCTTTGTAGAAAAATTATTTTAATGGATCAAACACCTTACCGAATGATCAATTCCACAGACTAATGAAGATTTTACACAAAATAAAGACCGAAACAATATTTAAGTATATTAATACCGCAAAACCAAACGTAACTTTGGCTCATGGTCGACTCTGACTACAATCTAAATATGCAAAATAGATATCACAAGTTTTTTTGCCCAAAAAAAAAAAAAGATATCACAAGTTTTTGCCTTTTTAGAAAAATTTCAATATATAGAAAAATTATAAACAGTTAACAATATATAAACTAAAAATATTATACATTGTGTCTTTGTTCAAGTGCCAAACATATTGTTTTTTTCCACTATAGCTTCTGTCTTCTTTTGTGTCAAAATTGGTTAGCATTTTTTTAATATTATATATTTTGATTGATTATACAAGATAAACTCTAATGCACTGGTAAGAATTATGCAATCACTTATACAAATTTTTGAGTCAAGTTTTGAGTTCAACCTTCTACAGTCACAAACGTTTCAAATAACTAAAAATGATAATTGTTACTTTCTACGTATCCTAGTTTGTTGACTTAAAAAATGGTTGTAGACTTGTAGTTTTGACCGTAGGTCTGAAACGACAGCGTTGTAAGGGTAGTGTCGTAATAATATCTTTTATCACTTGTGAGAAATCACCGAATGTTCTGAGGGTGAGCCGGAGGAAGGAGGAAGCCTAAGAAGTTGCCGTCGTCATGGCCGTGGAGGTGGTCTAAAATTAAAAAAATGCATAAAGACAAAAAGTCGTTCACAAACACATCAAATATTAGTTGGTAACGAATCGTTACTAACGATCATTGCGTTATGCTCGAATCGGACCTCGCTCTTATGCTATATTTTGAATGTTCTTATATTGAACTTTTTTTGGGTAAGATACTGAAATATATATACATATCGAAGATCAAATTAAATAACAGCACATGTAGTGAATCATTTCGTAAGTTTCTTTTTTTTGGTGAGTATCATTTCGTAAGTTTCTTCTCTTGGGGAAAGTGGATTCCAGCTGGAGAATTACGCCTAAAAATCTCTTGCAAAAGAGGCAACCTTCTTTCTTTCTTTTTTCAGGGTAAATAGTCGAAGCGGTTGAAGATGACTATATGATGACTATAAAAGAAAAAGATAAATTGACTTCATTATTAGTAACCAAAAAAAAGATGAATTATATTATAGAATATTCATGAGATTCGTACGTAGGAGAAAAATACCCTAATTCTTGTAAAATAAGCAACATGATTCTGCTTTTTCTCATTCAAGATCCAAGAATATTTAGGAGACAAAATTACCAATAGATTAGGAATACATGATCAAGGTTTTCCTTTTAATGTACTTAATCTGCTGCAAAAAGCCAACTTGAAGATCTAAACTATATATCATGTTAAAATTGAAGAACTGTGAGAATGGGTTTTGATTCTGTTTTAGAAAAAAAAGACAAGACATCTATGAAGTCTATACACTAGATAATGACACCGTAACACATCGTCAACAAGCATTAGCGAATGGTTATCATTCGATTAGATATTTCTAAAATTCAATTATCGTCACTCTGGATCACCACAAAATCATAGTCAATAAACAAGAGAAGATACATTATCATCATATAGAAATCAATATTTAAATTAAATCATCCATCATCATTAAAAATAAACTTTGTTTTTGTCTTTTACTACTATTATTGTATTTCTTTTTAATATTTACAGCTCGTCATAACAATCACGCAACCGATTGCAATTTTTGATATTATTTCTCTATGCCATAGGAAAAAAAATTATAATACTTACCTGCTATGAAATTATAAAAATATATTACGTAATTATTAATGAAAAATCCGTGACCACCTGATACCACCATCACTCGTTAAGTCTTCGCTTTTTTAGACACTAACACTGCAAGTTGTGATGAGCGTGTACTTAATGGCGTTATTTCCGACGATAACCCCGCGACGCCGAGGGAAGTAGAGAACAAGAGCTTTTCGTAGATCAATAGATTATAAGAAAAACTTGTTGCTAAGAACTCTTGATTTCTTGTAAAAAAAGCAGAGGAAGTTTAAAGACTTGGTACGCTATAAAAGAAAACCCTTATTTATTTTATTTTTGCTTTGCGAAACTGGAAAAAAACCTTAACTCTTTATTAATCAAAAATTGAGTGAATAAATGAATTGTACAAAACTTTAAATAGTTGAGAAAACCAGAAAACCCTATCTTAGAAAGGAAGTAGAACCGAATAAACCGAATCCGAAATGACCACCCCTACTAAAACCGACAAAAGTATGAAGAAAGCCCAATACAGAACATAAGCTAAAAAGGAGTTAAAGCCCAAAGATAAGAAACATGAGGTCTCGTCCTGTTGCTGCTTCACTCCGGCAGAACAATTACAAAAGTTGATAAACGCCGGGCACCTAACATGGAGATGATATTTTCCGGTGATGAAGGTACCGACTTTCCAACGAACTTTGCCGTCAAGATGAAGCATCAACTTGATCGCGCCAAGTGAATGGACCTGCTCGAGATTCACGGCGTTGGACGGAGCGACGGGAACGGAGTTACCACCGACGTAAGGAGACCAAAAAACTTCTTTTTGTCCTTGATAAGTCGTAGGCATGGCAGTCGCAGAAGTGATCAGTTGGTTCCCGTAAGAAGCGTAGACGTCAAGACGGTCGTAGACTCGTAGTAGATTTCGATCTTGTCGTTAGGGTTACGAGAGGAGAGAGTGATTTGGAAACTTGAGGTGAGAAATTTCGGTGGATTTCCGGAGACGTTGAAGTTGATGACGGTGGCGTCTTGAAGGATAAAGCGTGGTTTTGATGGTTGAAGGATTGCCCAAACTAGGAAAATTACGAGAAAGATTAAGAAGAGGATTATTATTATTGGCCAGATTACACGACGGATGATTTTACGGTTGCATGATGATGAGTGGCTGTGGTGAGCACCACAGTCTTTTGAGGTCATGTCGGAGCTCTGGTGACGGTGGTATGGGAGGTTTGGTGGTAGAGAGAAAGATATCTTAAATACTCTCTCGGTTACCTTTATATAAAAGATGTGTATATAGTATATATACTATATAGTCTTTGCAGAAAAATTATTTTAATAACGATATGATGATGTATAGAAAGTATGGTAATGTTAAGTATTATGATTTTGGTAATGAAATATTATGAATGGATTATGTATACTTAAAAAACTGATATGATACTAGTGAATTGTGCGATAGAAAAGGAATTTAACAAACGTTTAAACAAAATGTCATCAAAATGTTAAATCCCTAAAATTTTAGTAAAAATAACATTTTCAAAAGATTTTGATGAAAAATGGCAAAATCAACAATAATCTCTATATTGTAGCATTACTTTTTCTTTTTCATCAAAATCTTTTGAAATGTTATTTTTGAGGAAATAGCTCAATTTGTTTAGTCCCCACATTGTATCTTCTTCGAACCTCTCAATTTGTTTTAAAGGAAATGAATATCCCATATGTACCAAAATGGTGTTTCTTTCTTTAAAATTTATGTTGCACGACATCATACTAAACTCTTCGGAATTAATCACGAAAAAACTCACATTTTAAGTATTGCAAGTGTCAATTATTCAAATTCTACGTTTTCTTGTTATAACTTTTTTTTTTTTTTTTTTTGAACAAAATCTTGTTATAACTAGTTAGGCTTTTATTTGGGTCAATACCTCAATGGCCTTTTGGGTCAATAGCTAAGGGTGAAAACGACGGCGTTTTAATGTATTGAGCGGGTAAGGGTAGTGTCGTAATAATATCTTTTTATCACTTGTGAGAAAATGGAAACCAATCACCGATTGTTGTGAGCCGGACGAAGGAGAGGAAGCCGCCTAAGAAGTTGCCGTCGTCATGGCCGTGAAGGCTTCTGGATTCATCGGGAAATCAGCAATCTCAGTTCATCTAGATTTCTCTTCGTTTCCTGTGAAATTCTCATGCTTTAAACAGTTTTCTGTATCTACTCCAAAGCCACTGGTCGTTTTATCCGTGGCCTTATCGCCGCCGGCAAGAACAGTTGAGTCTCCGCCAGTTGGTTACCGGAAAAATGTTGGGATTTGTCTCGTTGGCCCATGTAGAAAGGTAACTTCTTTCTTCTTATATCTGATTTTGGAACAATTTGTCCACTTGATTGGGATTTGAAATGGTTTTGGTTTTTCAGATTTTTACGGCATCAAAGATTCACATTCCGGATACATGGCAGATGCCTCAGGTGAATCTTCTATAAGCTCTCTCTTGTTATTACAAAATGAGTTTTGTTGTAGTCCTTTGGTTTGTTGAGTAATTTGATTGCTTTGGAGAGCTTAGTTCTCACTTCTCACCAAACAACAGCTCCTTTGTAGTGCATTGAGTGACAAAGTTCCTATATTTTATTGCTAAAGAGGTGTTGGAATTGCACAGTTTAAGGGATTGCTTTTTTGAAAATACAAAATTTTAAACTATGGTAAGAACCAAATAAATGCCTTGTCAATAAGGATCTCAAAACTGCAGTGATGGTATGAGAAAGTGAAACTGAGAAGTATTTTAGGCTGGAGATTCACTTGTTTATGATCCTTTACGGTTTCAATTTTGACCATATGTTTATTAACTCTGCTTTTACAGGGTGGAGCTGATGAGGGAGAAGATTTGAGAAACGCTGCCTTTAGAGAACTGAGAGAAGAAACTGGGGTTACCTCGGCGGAATTCATTGCGGAGGCACGCTTTTGACATCTCTCTCTCATAGTAAATTATTAGATCTATTGCAATAAGATTCCTTTGATCCTTTCCAAGGTTCTTGGATTTGAGTTTGAATTGCTCTGTATCACCAAACTGAGCTTTTGAGTAATTTAAACGTCTAGATACCAAACTGGCTGACCTATGATTTTCCCCGAGAAGTGAAGGACAAACTAAACCGGAAATGGCGAACAAGTTACAAAGGCCAAGCTCAGAAGTGGTAACAACTAAGCATATAGTCTCATATATCTGCGGAAACAATGTCAAAGCTGCAAATACAGGATCTAACCAAGTGTTCATGATGATTGTCTAATACAGGTTTCTCTTCAAGTTCACGGGCAAGGAGGAAGAGATAAATCTCCTGGGAGACGGTACTGCAAAACCAGAGTTTAAGGTGTGGTCGTGGATGCTACCGGAACAAGTTATTGAACATGTGAGTGAGTCCTTGGCTTAAAGTACTACTGTGTTTGTATGTGCTTGAAATTTGTCGGCCTTATCATTCATTCATTCTTTCTCTGACAGGCTGTGTATTTCAAAAGACCTGTCTATGAGCATGTCATAAAGCAATTCAACCCTTATTTTGTGGATGAAGAAAACGATTCCATGAACTCGTCTAAGGATTGAATGTGCACAAAGATTCATCAAGTGAATAGTGATCAGGAGAAATCAATCAATTCATTATACAGGTTTCTCTTGAACCTCATCAAAGATAAAAATGCATGAATCTCTTCATGTTCAGACATTGATCTTGTAGTTTGATACCATATCAATATTTTTATGTATAGACATTCTTATCTTTGGTTATAAATCCTCACGAATTAGATAATTCTGACACAGCTCAATCCAATTTACTAACAGTTTTAAACTCCCTAACAATCTTATTCTTAGAGGTCATGTCTTATATAATCTCTCCTGAGCTAGTGAAAGACCTTTCGGATACTATTGGTACCCTTCCTCTCTTTTACCGATCAATCAAACCACGTCATAGTAGTTGCCTGCATCCTTTTGCCTTGTGTCCTCGATCGACCCTAATTTGTTGACCCTTGGTGTGTGTTTGACGCTCATCCGATTCCGTCTGTATATAATATCCAGATGCTGCAAGGATATAAAAACATGTTTATTTTGCTTCGTTGAGGATTCATAAAGTATAAATAAATAAGCGACTAACCGGTAAGAATCTGTTCATCCCGCTGACAAGTGGGTATGGAGGGTTAGTAGTACAGTTGGTTGGTACGTTCCCATCAACCACAATCACTTGGTCTGCCATATAGGTCGCCATTGTTAAGTCATGCTCCACAACAATAGCGGCTTTCCCCATGCGTAAAACATGCCGCCTTATGGCCATTGCAGCGTTGATTCGCAGCTCTGAGTCTAGATACGCACCTGGCTCATCGATCAGGTAGACACTTGCGGGCTGTAAGGAACAAGTTTTTCAAATAAGTAACAAGTGTTGTCAAACTTTTGATCTTTATTATAGTGAACTGTAAATTACTCACACTCCCGAGGCAGATGGTTAAGGCAACCCTCTGTGTTTCCCCAGGCGAGAGTGACTCCACTTTTCGATTCAGCAACTGCTCGATCTGAAGCGGTTTCATCACATCTCTTACAAAGGCAGGATGCATGTCTTCCAAATGAAGGCTCAATTCTGGCATTTGTCTGACTGTACACTAACCCCTCCAGCCAATTATTTGCTGTTTGTATGAGACAGGAAACTTCGGCTGCCACAGTTGTAATCCTTCTTCATAGTCAGGTGGCACCATATCACCCTAGAGAAGTTGAGAGAAATCTTTATTAAAGAATCTAGAGAGAGTATATAAACGATGAAAGGCATTGAACTCTCTACCAGCAATTGGAGGAAGGTGGTCTTCCCTGAACCGCTCTCTCCCAGCACTACAGAAACCTGACAGTCAGTGAACTCCCCTTCCATCACTTCCAGCTTGAAATCCCCAAGGGTTATACTCATGTTCGGATATTTGTATCTACTAAAGAACTGCATGTAGTTTCCATTCAATCTGTGGTGGAAGAGTCCTAGCAACCTGGAAAAAATAAGACAAAACTATCAATGAAAAAAGTCGACCACTTCTCTATGAATTAGCTCTAGGAGACCATTACCTCGAAGATCAGAGATTCATCCCTGATACGCAAGTTTCGTGAGTGATCAAAACCGGCCAAGAAAACCTCGATTCCTGATCTGACACAGTAGTCGGGAGAAAGGATACCATGTGCTTCTGGTTTCCCATACAAACAGTAAATGGCATCGGACTAATGTCATTATCTGCAACAATCACGTAGCTACAACAAGAAAAGAAAAATATGTTATCCTAGACACAACCACATGGAGATATTAAGAAGATACTTGTCAGAATCAAACCTGTCAAGTGTGAGGAGAGAACGTATAACTTGTGCAGCTTTGAATTTTTGCCTCACATCTAGTAAGCTTGATGGTTCATCAAATTTCAAATATGTACACATCCGCTTTCTGTAAGAAGACTGCAGCAACCATGACCCTTTGCAGCACTTGACCAGATAAACGGCGGACACTCCGGTCCGAGAACTCATTCAACTCCAGTTCATCATCACAGATCTCCTTCATCATACCTCTCTCGTTGTGCTTCTCAAGCAGCTTCCTGACACGTTGTGGTTCAGCAGAGCCTCTCATGTCTTTGAAATGCTGTGACTTCATAGCGACCTACGAGAAAAACCGTGACTCGCTTAAAGAGGCTAACTGATAATTATTTAGGGGACAAAAAAAATAGCAAGATCAATTTCCACACTACCTTTAGTTGCTTTTCTAGAAAGTGGGTGAAGTAGCTTTGAAGGTGTCTATCTTTTTCACGGCAGTGATTCAAAATTTCTTCTAACTCCGGAGGATTCTGCCCAAGAGGAAGAAGAATCGTGGATGAGTCACATGCATACAATACAGAGAATATAAGACTTGAGAGAGGATATATATATATTATACATTGAAGCGGCCAAGATTTGGTTTGAGTACTCCAAGCCAAAAGTTTGAGAGCAGTTGATTTCCCGATACTGTGTGTTCCAAGCAATCCTAGGAGCTCTCCAGGCCTTGGAGCTGGAATCCTGCACGTCAGATAATTCCGGTGACTAAAGAATGTAGAGTCAAAAAGATATCATGAAGGTGAAAAATATTTGATGAAGTAGCTAACCCGAGCAATTTAAAAGAGTTAGGCCCATAGCTGTAGGTTGTTGTGTGTTTATCCAAGTCCTTAGTAAGATGTGCCATTACCTGGAAGGAAACAACATCACAACAGTTTCATAACAATTCTGCTTTGGCAATGACCAATATTGGTAGCTACTGACAAAGTATAACATACAAAAAAAAACATGAGGTACAAAAACAGGAAAACGTTATAAGTTTTAGTTTTTTACCTTGCTTAACAGGTTTCTGGTTTCCTCCGACAAGAAAGAATCCGATATCGATACACAAAAAAAAAAAAAAGAATCCGATATCGAAAGAGAAAGATTAGCTTGGTTTGTTCTTTTTTTTTCTTTTAGGATTTTGAGTTTATTCTTTAGCGTTTAGGGATTTTTTTTTTTTTTCTTTTGTTGCGAGTAAATAGTATTTAAATACACCTAGAAAACAATTTAACTTCTTTTTTTTTGGACAAAGAAATCAATTTAACAAGCCACTAAGTTAAATGGGAAAACAAATCCTTAACTTTTAATCCCTCAAATCTGTGTGTTTTTTTTTTTAATTTCTAGATTTGTTTATAATACTACAATTTATTAAATAATATAAACTCTCTTTCATTTTATTATCAAAAAAAAAAAACTCTCTCTCATTAACCCTTAACCTTTTTTTATCCTTTACTTCCATTTTTTTAATACAAGTCAAACGCCCATTTCCTTTTTTTTTTTTTTTATAAGATTTTTACTTGAGATAACTAAAATAATTTGACCAAAAAAAAAGGAAAAAACTAAAAATGACCTTAAATTAAATCCCATGTGGCTTTTATCTTTTCCTCTCTTAAATCTGTTGCCGGCGTTTCTTCAGCACCACCACAAAACCGGCGTCGTTTTTGGCCGATTTTGGTTTAAAAGCATCTAAACCGGTTTAATCCAACTCCTTAACCGAAAACAGTTTTCTCGCCGCTCTGCCGCCACCACCTCGTCTCCGTTATTAGGTATATTTCAGCGAGATTGTTTAACTCTTAGCTTCAGGAGAAGCTAATTTGAAACTGCTTCTGGGTTCATACGTAGCTCAACAAGATATATAACAAATGGTTCGCTCCAAGGCTCCTGCAAAGAAGCAGCAAAAGAAAGGAATTGATTTCAAGGTGCGTCTTCTCTTCGAGTTTCCATGAATCTTCTTCTTCAAGTGTTTGATGAATTGTTCTAATGATTTATTTTTTTATTTGGCAGAAAATTAAGAGAAAGCTCGGGAGAAAATTACCTCCACCGAATAATGCAACCAACACTGAGATTAAATCCAAAGGTATCTGCTTTCTCCTGCTCTTCAAACTTCCCTTATTAGCTTCGCTGCTTATGGTTGAAAATTACTTTTGTTTATGTTGCAGCAATTATACTTCCTGAGCAAAGTGTGGCTGCTGAAAAGAGTGGCTTAGCTACAAGTAAGAAAGGCTTGACCTTGAAGGAGCTTCTGCAACAAACTCGTCATCACAATGCCAAAGTTCGCAAAGGTACTTCTTTTTTTTCTTGCTTATGTTTAATTACATGTTTTTGGTTTTAGGAATATATGAAACCTGCTACGTTGTTCCGTGGATCAATGTTTGTTTTCTCTGTGTAGATGCATTATATGGTATCAAAGACCTTTTTAAGAATCATCCAGAAGAGCTGCAGTCACATAAATATGCTATCATACAGAAACTCAGGGAACGCATTTGTGATGATGATAAGCTAGTGAGAGATGCTTTTTATCAACTATTTAAAATTGACATCTTTCCTGCTTGTAAAGAGGTATGATTATTTTCTTTTTCCACTTGTTATTTCATTCCGCTTACCTTGGTTTCTCTTACTTTGTTGTGTTAGTCCCCTTTCATAATATCAGCTGCAAGATGTGAATTTGAAATTATTAATTTATTATGGTTTCTAGTCTGTTGGTTATGCATACTATATTGATATGATCATGTCTTTTATAGTTTACTGTCATATCTAACGGTCAATTCTATGTGTGAATCTATCAGGATAACCAGGGCCCTATGGTGTCACTTTTGATGCCATACATATTTAGCGCTATGGCTAGTTCAGTTATTGATGTTCGTTTGATGGCTTTCAAATTTTTCCACCTTGTTGTGGAGAACTACCCGCCTACCTTTTCCTTGGATGCTGAAAAGGTGTCTACTTTGATCTCTTGGAACATGACAGAGACTGTTACATTTCCAACTTTTGCATGTAGTATTTCTTTCTAAACTTTAGTCTTGCAAGATGTTCCCTGAAATTTCATCTGCTACTGTATGCAGATTCTCGAAAACTACAAAGATATTATACAGAAAAATCATTTTTATGTGCAAGATAAAAGCAAGCTAAAGGTAGCGCTTTCTGGGTTGGCACATTGCCTCTCGCTGTTGCCATGTGATGAGAGCGACACCGAATCACAAAAAAAGGTATATAATCACTTTCACTCCGAATGATGCCGAAGTTCTTGTTTCATAAATGCCACGAAGTAGCATAGCAATGCATATGGTGCTGTTGTTTTTTTTGGTGTCTAGCTTGTTAGAAAACGACTATAAATAATTTAGCGATATCTTTAAATTTGAGGGAATCATATAATAAAAAAATCTACCTCTTGGAGAGACCTAAATATTTTTAAATATAGATAACATTTGACATCAAGTTTCCTTGAATAAATGCAGTCTTATGAGATCTTTTTGTATGTAGTAAGATGTTTTTGATTTTTAATACTCGCCTAACCACTCTGGGAATGTGTTCTGTTTTCCCTTTTCTAACTGTTTTTTTGTACATGCCCTTATTTTCTTCTGTAGGGACCTTTACAGAATGAAACACTACTCGCCTATGAGCAAGATGCTGCAAAAGATTGTGTTAGTATGTGTCATCTGTCTTCTTTTCTCATCAATAACTTATTGGTATATGGCTTGTATCATGTTTTCTTGAATCTATGCACTTTACAACTGTACAATTAGTCCGTTTTCCTTTGCCCCCTTCCTCTCTAGTACGACCTCTAGATTGTCCCTGCAAAGCTTTGAAGATATAAGTAACTGTTGCCTATTTAAAATTCCATAGCCTTCATTTTTTCCCGTTGTCTCTCCTCACAATTTAATCTTATAGTTTGGATGTAGCAATGTCGCCACTTAGATTTAATTTTCTGGATAATTTGATTGTACCCATTCATTAATTATATATATCGACAAGTTTACAGTATTCTGACCAAGTTTCTACGGGTTCTTACAGGTTTTGCCCATGTCTGTGGGAGATTGAAGGAGATTGTTGGAGTCTTAATCAATTGTTTCCAGGATTTCATTCCATTGATTCATGCTCCGCGAGGATTCGATGCAGATTCATTTGATTGCATACACCATCTATTTCGCAGCATAGGTATTGCAATCAAGTTTTCCATTCGTAGGCACATGCAAAGACAGACTGCATGGCAACCTGCATCTGAAGAAGTTACTCTGATGATATTGGATCAGGACATTGCATCAATACTGTTAAAAAAATTACTTGGTTCATTTCCTCTCAATCCAGAAAACAATCTTTATGGAAAGGTATGAATCACAACGCTATATAGTAGATGATTAATAATAGCCTAGGGTTAGTAGTTAATTTGATAGTATCCCTGCCTAGTAAAGTTCTATTACTCTTCTATCAAGAATCCCCCCCTGCCATTGTTTGTATTCTTCCTATGATTATATGTTATGATTTTCTTAGTTTTATATCAAACTGCTAACACTAATTGAATGTTTGTTGACAGGGTGATGAAAGGTACTTTATACTCAACAGTGTATTGACAGAAATCTTTTTGGAAGTAAGTGAATGGAGCCACCTTCCTACTGATCTTTCCAATAGATTTCTGGAATTTATTGAGAATACACTACTAGGCAAGGTTAGCTCTTATTACTTTACATTGATATATCAACGCAAGCTGATTAGTTTTACACTTTTACTTGTATATTTTTTCCGTCACTCTATCTGTATTGTATCTGATAAGCTGCTAATTTCCTTGCAAATCTAGAAGGGGAAAAAAATTCTCACTGGGATTTGCGAACATTTATTTTGCAGATCACCAGGAGCATTAGGCTTAGTAAAGATATTCACGAAAAGACTTTACTTGCACTCTTTCCCTTTGTTCCAAAACTTATTCTGAGGGTGGACCGTGATTGGAGAGATAATCTTCTGCAGGTTCGTCTAAGATTCTTAGAGTAATTTCAGCTAGGCAGGAGGATATATACTTGCTCAGTTCCTTTGATAGCTAGCACTAGCAGTAAGATCATCTATATTTATATATGACTGTTGGTATTTCGTTTATATTTTTCAGGCATTTACTATTGCCTTCAGCGATTGCAAACCAGAGTCTGAACTCAAATTAGCCTGCATTTCAACTGTTAGAGACATGATTATCCCTGTAAGTAATTTTTTCATGATATATTCAGTCTAGATATTGGCTGACTGTTTCAACCCGATTCTAACTTTTTACCCACATTGAATCCTAAATTTGTTTCTTGTAATATCTGCAGAATGGAGATATCCTCTTTCCCAATGCAAGTGATCAAACGGTAAATAACTACCAGGTGGCTTGGGTCAACAAACTTCCATCACTGCTTAATCAGTTGGGTGATAAGCATCCCGTATCTACCCAGGTGCTAACATATGACCTACAGTTTATTGTCAATCCAGTAATCTTTGATCATTCAAGGCGAAAATCTTTTGTACATGGACCCGTTTTTTTATCAAATAAGAGCACTTCTCCATTTCTCATTTCTACCGAATTTGAAATTAACTTCAGGTTGTTTTGCAACTCTTACTCGACCTTAGGCGAGTTGGGTGTCTGAATACTTCCCCCACATGTGAAGATGACATCAGAAACTTCTTCAGCCTTTGTCAGGGAGAAGGTGCAATTCTTGCTGCAAAACAAAAAACGTGTTATTAGATTCTTAGTGTCATTAACTGAAATAGGGCTTCTTGGTTTCTTCATCTTTTAAATTGTACAGGTGATGTGCCCGGTGGACCTTTTGCAAGTCTCCCTCGGGAAGCCCAAGAACTGGCTCTCTGTTTCCTTTACTACTTCACCACAGACAAATTCAGCTCCCCTATGATGAAAGCAATAGTTTCATGCTGTTTATGTGAGTATCACTTTATTTCCTGATGCTTTTATTCAACTGTAAAAGTGGATTCCGTTGATGATAGAATGCAAGAAAAGGGTAGTTGACTCGACTCAACGTAAATTGCAGACCCACAACTTGAACCAGCTGTGTTGTATCGGATAGTGGAAATTCGTCACACTGCCTATAGAGCTGGATATATCCAGATTACAGATCATTTTAGCTTCCTTATCACCTTAATTGCACGTTTCAAAGTTGTCCCAGGTACCTGCTAGATTTGTTTTTCTCTTTTGGGCTTAAGAAAAATACTTTTGAACTTTTTTGAAGAAATTGGTTTTGAGCTTATTTGAGAGATAATCATGCTTTTATGTTTTGTGATAGCTTACCTTGGTTTTATGTGCATGCAGAGAAACTACAGTCACCGATAGAGTGTAATGAGCGGGAGACATATTGTGGCACATTTAAAGAAGTTACAAAGCTTGTGTGCTCATGTTTGTCAGAAATGGGTGATAGTTCTCTTGTCCTTCAGATTGTAGAGAAAGTTTTACTCGAACAAATAGTAAGTTTGTCTTTTGATAATGCTATATCTAAATGGTTATACATTCTCATTTAATAGCACTGCAAATACTTAATGAGATGTTGTTCTTCTTGGTATAGATTTTGAAGCCTGCGTTGGACAATGGGTGTGCCATACTCAGGATGATCTGCGTGTTGGACTCTACCCCTACCAGACTTTCTGAAAGGAGTGTAACCACTCTAAGTGAGTTCTTACCGGGATATATGATCGACATAGTCAATGTAAGCATTTCCCTTCTAGAAACTTTGCTGGGTCCTAAATGTTTCATTATAATCCTGGGATTGACACATCTCTTGCGCTCTTCTTGCAGTGTATACCAGAAGATAAGGAGAACTCTTACCTTTACATACAAACATGTCTCTACTATTTAGTACCTTGCTATTTCTTGTTCAACCGGAGCTCCAAACTCACAGAACAGGTTCTGATAAGAATGCGATCAATGATTAGTGAAAACACAAATGCGCTAGAATTGGTACAAGACAGGGAGAGTGGTCGAAACTCATTGAATTTAATACAATGCATAATCTCTGTGATCCTGCTGATGCACAATGACGTCAAAGTTAGGAAGATAATATCATCATTCAAGTCCGAGATCGATTTGATTCTGCAGAACGTTATCACGTTGCAGGTAATCATTTTCTCCACTCTCTTATCGATATTGCAAACTGCAAAACCATGTGCTGATCACCTCTTAATTGTGTGTAGTCCTCACGAAGCACGAGCTTGACTGTAGAAGGAAAGCATATGATGAAAATTGCGGGAGAACGACTTAGGATTGCATCCACAAGCTTACTCGCATAATAAAGTTCTACAACTGTAACATAAAAAGATTTGTGCTCTCTTTACAAATGATGCAAAAGATATGACTATTCTTGGTTGGTTTGAGAAAGAACCAATTTTGATGGCAATTATGTAGAATTTTGGTTTAATTGGAGTGAAAAGACTTATCTATCATCAAAACTGGGATATGCTTCTTCACATGAAAAAAGGTTTTATACATTAAACCAAGCATCCAACATGCTTATACAAGCTTTGGTTCCAGTAGCCAACCTTGTTTGAACCGCAATGGGAAGATTCAAACCACAATTTCCGAAGACTAAAGTAAATCTTTCAACCACTACACCATGGATTGGCCAAAATGTTCAACATAGGATTCATTTCGTCACATAGAATGTTCAACATTGGATCTTGCAGAAGACGCTATATATATTGGTACATACTACATAGACCATAGTTTAGTCAAAGACTGAAAGTTCGAACTAACTCCTAAAGAGAAAAAAAGTCGATAATATTTAGCATCATACCATCTGAAGTGATAGGCTTTTAAAGAATGATGAAGCCCATTAACATTTGATAACAAAGCCCATATCCGACCCGTTGATAAAACCCTAGCTCGCAGTCTCTGAATCTCTCTCTCCCCGTCCAATTTCCGTCTCTCTCTCTCTTTTTCTCTCACCGCCTGATCGCTTAGAAGCAACCATGGTTCGTTCTCCGCCGCCGGCGTTTCTTTTTTTTTTTTCTTACAGCCTTCGTTTCTCAGATATAGCAGCTTAAAGCTTTTGATCTCTGACTATTTCTGTGGTTTCTTCTTCTTTTGGTTGATGAAAAACAGCCTCAGGGAGATTACATAGATTTGCACATTAAGAGGAATGGATATCGCCTCGATCACCACGAGCGCTTGCGCAAGAAGGAGGCGCGTGCAGTTCACAAGCGCTCCGCCATGGCTCAGAAGGTTCTTCCTTTCTTCTCCTTCTTCTTCTTCTTCTTCTTCTTCTTCTTCTTCTTCTTCTTCTTTCATTTGTGTTTTTTTTTTCCAACTATTTTAGCTTCCTTTTGCTGATCTTCTTCTGTTTTGGTTTAATTGCAGTCTCTAGGTATCAAGGGTAAGATGATTGCTAAGAAAAACTATGCTGAGAAAGCTCTCATGAAGAAAACGTAAGTGTTTCCTCTTCTTCTCTGAGAATCTATCATTAGGCCAAAGTTGTTTACTAGTATAATTGAATATGGTTTATGTAGATTGAAATAAGCTAAAGCTTGTGCTGTTTCTTTGAGATTCTTACATGGGTTTGATTTTTTAACACAACAGATTGAAAATGCATGAAGAGTCATCATCAAGGCGTAAGGCTGATGAGAATGTTCAGGAAGGAGCTGTTCCTGCTTATCTTCTTGATCGTGAAGACACCACTCGTGCCAAGGTTTGTTTTTCTTTTTTTTCAGTTGAGATATTTATAATTGTGAAACTTGGTGAGACATTACATTAACAATGGTGTGTTTTTGGGTTTAGGTTCTTAGCAACACCATTAAACAAAAAAGGAAAGAGAAAGCTGGCAAATGGGAAGTCCCTTTACCAAAGGTGAAATCTCTCTGCTTTTGTACTCCTTCTCTAACAAATGGGTAAAAGCTCGAATTCTTCTCTCTTGGCAGCTAATAGCCTTTTCCTTTTACAGGTCCGTCCAGTTGCTGAAGATGAAATGTTCAGAGTGATCCGATCTGGAAAAAGGAAAAGTATGTACTTTCTTTCGGATTCCAGATTTTGCTGCTTGTTTGTTTTGTTATCACTCTATGTTCAAACACTTATCATCATACAGAGGCTATTGATTAAGGAAATGACTCTAGACTAGATTGAGTAATAATGCTTTCTACTTAATGCTGCCAATCTCAAAATCTTGTAGTCCCTGAAATGTGATTTTACTTTGTGGATTGGTTTTATTAGTGTTAGATAGATGCTTACAACTACTGAAAATGCTTTCTCTTTTTGCATCAACTACAGCAAAACAGTGGAAGAGGATGGTTACAAAAGCTACATTTGTTGGACCTGCTTTCACAAGGAAGCCTCCAAAGTACGAGCGTTTCATTCGTCCATCCGGTCTGCGTTTCACCAAGGCCCACGTCACTCACCCTGAACTAAAATGCACTTTCTGTCTTGAGATCATCGGAATTAAGAAGAATCCTAACGGTCCCATGTATACATCACTCGGTGTCATGACCAGGGGAACAATCATCGAGGTTAGTCTCCAAGATCTGTACATATTAAGTTGTCTAAAGGCGCAAATATCTCAATATGGGAATGGATTTTTCAGGTCAATGTGAGTGAGCTTGGTCTTGTTACACCAGCTGGAAAGGTTGTCTGGGGTAAGTGACAAAATATATACACAACCTTGGTGCAAACTATAATTTTGATTTCAGAGTCTTAACTCTCTCTTCAATTTGACTTCAGGGAAATACGCTCAAGTGACAAACAATCCAGAGAACGACGGATGTATAAACGCTGTTTTACTTGTGTAACCAAATGTCCGGCACTGTCAGAGTAGTATGGATAGAGACAAGAGGAAGGCGAGAATCATGTTGGCTAGTTTTCTTTTGTTTTCTCCTGAAACAATTTGGTGTTATTTCAAGTTTTTATGAATGTGTGGTTGGTCTTCTCATCACATTAACTAGCTATGTTAGCTTTCTAAGTATCCCACATTATGAAATTTTGTTGCTTCTAATGTTCATTTTGAGCTTCTTAACCGTTACTATGGGAGTTAATATGCCTTAAGAACCCATATGACTCAACAATGAGATAAATCTGAAGGTAAACATAGAAAATCGAACCACAAGGCAAGTCAAACCAAACTTCAATTACCGACAATATGAACTAGACCAACCCAAAGTACGTAAATAATGATTATAATTTGATTATTCAATACTTATAAAGCCAATAAATTAAAAGAAATCGACCCAAAATGCTGCTAAATAGTGGTTTCAACATGTGTTTTGTCATTTCACTATTTAGGTAGGTTATCTTCGTCTTCGACCTATTTTCAAATATGTTAAAGCATAGGTCCAGAGACGAAAGAAACTATTAATTGGAGGATCATAATGAAAACAAGATATAAGAAAGGAAACTTGCGCGACCCAAACATGGCAATTATGTGAAACCGACTTTGTAATATCAATCTGGACTGTTGAAAATAATATGATCATATCTTGACCGTCAATAACTTATGTTCCTCATCTATAAATAAAATAATGCTCCCCCTCTTGCAGCAGTAGGGCTGATTTGAAAAGTGTTTTAAGGATGTTGTCTTCATTCTACAAGAACATATACAATGTCGTGGATGATCCATCATTGGATCAAATCATCTCGTGGAGCAAAAGCAACAATAGCTTCATCGTTTGGAATCTTGAAGGGCTTCAGAGAGAGGTTCTGCCGAAATCGATAGAATTTGGCAAACATTACTTAAAGTTTATGACCGAACTTAAGTTTTATGGCTTTAAAAGAATTAAGGGGTCTGCACAGTGGGAATTTGGACATGAGTATTTCGTGAGAGGTCAACCTGAGCTTTTGGTGAAGATGATGTTCAAAACTGGGATGAAGAGGATTGAGCAACTTGCAGCTATACGTAGAGCAAAGAAAAAGAAAGCCAAAGCAGCTAAAGCTAAAGCCGAAGCTGAAGTAGAGAATCGCTTGCAACAATTACGAATCTGATCAAAATCATCTCGTTTTCAATGAATAAATAAGGAAACTTTTGTATTGTATCAACAACAATTTTTAGTTTGGAAATAAAATTTTGGGATTTTTCAGAAACCATGTCTGTTTTGTAGCCTCTGAATTTATTTTTCTTCTTCTATGGTTTAGTACTAATTGCCTAGTTGGTACCCTTTTGCCTACTATTAAACACAGTTATATAAGTTTGCATCATACCATGATCAATTACATATAAGAAATATTAAAGTTTTACAAAGCAGTGTTCTTATTTGAATAGTTTTAGAAGTAAGGCAAACCTAAAAATACAACAGTGAGATAAGCTGGGGAAGCTTAAGCTTATCTATTAACTCGTGCTTGGTAAAGCTATGACTGCCAATGGAGGTTCAAGTACTTGGAAAAGTCCTGACGACAGCCTTCTTGTGAGGTCCTCTGCTTCAACTTTCGCGACGTCAGCTCTCATTCCAATATCAGTAGCGTATCTACTCGCACAATACACACCAATCGCAGTAGCAGCCATTCCATAAACGTTTGTAGTCACAAGCCGCATCGGCGTGGACAAAACTGCAGCAATTGGTCCACCTATAATCGACACTGCCTGACCGCTCTGTCCCATTGTCCTTCCCTCAAGAACAAGCAATCCGGTTTTGCAATATATAGCAAAATCCTCACAGTTGTTCTTGAAAACGTCGTAGCATCCAAATCCGTTTTGAAGGAGGTGTTTAGCCCGGTGAACAACAATCTCATTCGGATCAGCGACAGCAAGTGTACAGGTTCCTCCTCTCGCTTTGGCAAGGAAGTGAGCAGCGTTGACCGAATACTCAAACCGGTACAAGACACCACCGGCTAGGAAACAGTTTAGGCATGAGGAAACAACACCGTGACCTTCGTTCGGTGGAACACACGTTGGACAATGCGTGTGGTTTCGGGATGGACCTGAGCTCACAAGTATAAGATCTAGAACAGTCCCGGTTCCAACTTCTTGGCCTCTTCTAGTGAAATGGACGACTCTATCATCTCCAACAAAGATTCCTACACACAAAAGTATTAGCAACATTATAGACATAGCTTCCACACCATTCTCTGGTCACAACATTTGGGAATAAAACATATCATTACACAAGCATCATATGTGGGAAGGGAAGCTATTTAGGGAATAAGCATATATCACTTAAAATTACAGGATTCGATAAGTGATCTCGTTCAAAAGATAAACCCTAATTCATCAATAAACTCCACACAGTTCCTAAATTTTGCCAAATTCATTAGTAGAGAGACAAAGTAATTGAAATTGATACCGTGATGGGCATAGATGTAAGCAGTTCTCCAGGAGTAGATATGATCTCCAGGTTTCAAACCCGATCTATCGATTCTGTTCAAAAGATACACAAATTTCTTGAGATGTTGATGGTAGAGTAGAATAACTAAAGATTCTCTCAGAAAATCAAAAACCTGTTGGAGAGAAGACCCATAACGTCGTAGAAGAGACGAAGCAGAGCTTTTCGTGAAACTTATCTTCAATGAAGAAAAACAAAGACAAAAAGCGAGAATGATTATTATGCTAAAAATGGCTTTCCGTTTTCTCTCTCCCATAGTCCATACTTTCCTTCGGCGTTAAGGAAAAATTAAAAGCGAGAGAGAGACAGGGACAGGTGTGAACCGCGTGGCATCGTTTCTTGTTTTCCTAAAAATTGGGCCTGTTTTGATATAATGGGCTTTTGTTTTCATGGGACTTATATAAAGGTCCAATTCCACATAATACTCTTTTTACTGTTATGTTTTGACGTGGGTAAAGTTAAATTTATTGCACAATTAATAGAGTCAAATAATAAAGTTTATTAGTCAATAGTCAATATTCAAAGTTTGTGTTATCAATGTTATAAATAGTGTCTATGTTTTTCTGAGATTTGGTAATATATTTGTGTAATTTTATGAAAATCACACACCCTTTATTTTATTATAAAATGCATTTGCATTATCCAGTTGTAATGATAGATTTTTGCATTATCCAGCAGTAAATCTATATAAAGTGCTGCTAGTAAGAATAATTATCCAGTGGTAATGATATTATCTTATAAAATATCTAATGATTAGTTAAAAATAAAGAGATAAGATAATATATTTATTCAAGATCACAACTGAATAAACAAGAACAATTATGTGGCATATTATCATTTAAAACAATATATAGAATATAATCCAAAGAAACTAAATAATGCTTAATGATAATAGTTTCATTTATCGACAGAGGTAATTTGTATGTATAAATAAATATATGATTCATGGTGGTCGTCGTCATCTACACTAGCCAACGTAACCGAAACATAAACCCAAATCAAGAGTGAAGCAGATCAGACTAAAAGCCTAAAACCACAAACCCTTTCAGATTCTCTTTCATTTTTTAATCATCGATTCTTCTTTCGTTTCTGAACAAAATTCTTCCTTTGTGGAATCTGAGATTTTCTTGGCGATTTTCTCGGAAAAGTTGGCTTTTTTTTATATGAATTGGTGAAAACAGAGACGAAGAGGATCGATAGATTTATGTTTTGACTTTTGATTGATTGATATTGATCGATCTGCATTTTCTCTGATTGATCGATAGATTTATTATGTCTCTGAGCGTGAAACAACCGAGTCTCCGTCGAAGTCTATCAACGCCGTCGTTATGTGGTGGAGGATCTACGACGGCTGAGTGTTGCGGTGGTACGACGGCGAGTTGTGCCGCCTTATGTCTATGCGCCCCTTGTAGCGTCGTGAATCTCGTCGTTCTCGCTGTGTACAAGCTCCCTCGTGGACTATGCCGCCGCGCAATCCGCCGTATACGACGGAGAAGATTAGCAAAAAAGGAGTGTTTAGAGAGTGGAGAGCTTGGTAAAGTAGGGAGTTCTCAATTCGCTGTTCACCCATTAGAGAGCCGAGATGACGAGGAAGAAGAAGAAGATGAGGCTGTGATTGCGTTAGAGAAGGAGATGTGGAGCAGATTTTACAGTGGTGGTTTCTGGCGAAGCCTTTCTCAAGCTGAAACGGCGTCGTCTCCCAAAAACAATTAGAGGATTTTTATTATACAGTGTAATGTAAAACCAATGTGAATTGGAGATCAATGTTGATAAAATGTGTGTTTTGTGCAATCAAGTGTGACATTTCGATTTTTCTATTTAGCTTTCAATCATATCTTTTGAATTGTGACTATACAATGTGACAAAAACTATATAGAATTGGTGATAGAGACCGAATTATGTATTTGGCTAAATCGAAACTAAACTCTTTGTTTTTTTGTTAAATGGTTAATCTATTGCCAGAAGACTTTACAAAAAAAATTCCTATTTGAAAGAGAATTATCCCAAAATTAAAAGAGTTAAGAGGAATCTATTGGGATGATGATTGAGAAGCTCTGAAACCAAACTTTGTTGGAGGAGTTGTTTCCTTGAACTAGGTAATTATGTTTAGCCGTACAAGTAGACGTCCACTAGGTGAAGATCTCTACTCCAACAACACTTGTAGACCACTTTTCGGAGATATGATTTTTACAAGTCAAATCATACTCAAAAGCAAAGTTAAAGTGACTATGATTAACTTTTAAAACCAAATAAAAATAAAATTTGATAAAGTAATGTGAGGCCGCATATTCATGTGCATGAATCATGTAGATTCAGGGACTAAGTTAACTGTGTTGGAACAAAACTTATGGTAACGTACGTAATCTTGTGTGCATATCTAGGTTACACAATAATCTATGAATGTATGATAATGAAAAGAAAAGACATATGTTTGAGTTTGGAACGTGGCATACATGCCATCATGAACAGTCTAAGTAGGATCAAACATTGGTTTCGTACGTATACCATTAAAAAACTAATACTACCAACTAAATACACAAAAAACATAAATTCTGATTAAGAGATGCTCTAGTTGGGATCATATAAAGAGAAGGATCCAGTAAATAGATTCGGAAGAAAGCGTGGGATATGGAATATAGCTGGTATAAGCTATATAATAGGTCTGACAGTCTAGGGCTTGAGAGAGAGAGAGAGAGTCAGGTCAGGTGGTAAAATAATAAAGGACATTGAGTGAAAAAAGTGAATAGAGTTAAGTAATTAGGGTTTCATGTGAGGCCAGAGTACAGTGTGACTCTTCGTGTAAACTGTCCTTTTCTTTCTGTGGGGGACCTTTAGATTTTTTTTCCTTTACATTGATTTCACAGAGTTTCTATCACAACCCCTGTTCTAAAAATCCCCGCCTAGCCCCGATTACTCCCCGCTTAATCGCTAGGCCCACCCTATCCGCCTCGATTAATGACTAATCCCCTAAAAAATCAGTAACCCGATTATTCTCCGCCTAATCCGATTATTTTCCGCCTAATCTTATATACCCCGATTATTTTTTAGATTGCAAGTATAAAAAAACTTTTTATTTTTGTTATTCAATCATTTGAATGGAGAGTTTGTGATGTTTTACAATAACTTGTGTTCAAATTTTAATAAAAATCATAAATTTGTAATAAAAATCATAAATTTTTACAATATTGGATTAATATATTTTAAAAATATTAAAATAACCCTAAAACTAATCCCCGATTAATCCCCGATTTTAATCCGATTTTCCGATTAATCGCTAGGCCCATGCCGAGCGCCCGACTAGCGCCTAGCGATTTTTCAAACAAGGATCACAACCATTACTTTCCTCTCCATATTTATTGACTCTTCTTTTATTTCCTCTTTTATCACTTTTTATAAATACAGATTTGTTTAGTTTCAATTGTCATACACATGAAACGCAGATGTGATAAGACAATTCTCCATGGATTTTGCTATGCGTTGAATCCCATGCAATTTTGTCTTAAAATGTTTTTCTATAACATTAAGGTAAAGAAAAATTAAATACTCTCCTACATTTTAAAGTCCTTTTCACTTCTCATATCACATAAGCAAACCTAACCCAAACGAAATATGTGGTCGCTGTATATCCTTCATTTAAGACATATAAAGAGTTAAATTATTCATGCCAAACTAATATCACATGAATAAATAGCTAGTGTGCCCGGAGAATGGAGATTGGTTCAACAGAATGAACTATGCTAATAATTAATTAATGAGCAACCAACTTATGCTATAAAGGCGCCAGGTCTGGATTACTGGTAGTGAAATCGAAAAAAGTCGGAGAATCTATGAAATGTTGAATTCTAGGTTGATTTGAGGATATATAGTCCATGACCTAATCTGCAATATTGTGAGCTGTGGAGGTGGAAAAGTATTAAAGACGGAGAAAGTTTATTAGAAAGAGGAGAAATTGTGAATATTTTCGGATCTCTTTTTTTTTTTTTTTGTGGAAAGCCAGAAGATATTTTATAGGATTTACGTTATCCATATATTTTTTAAGTGTCACTTTTTTCATTCAATTGTAATTGAATCAATTATGGGGTTGGGCTTTATCCCAACTGAAATTATCAAATCCAGTACAACTGCCCATACTTCAGAAATAGGTATTTTTCATTTGAACAAAAAGACGAATCTACCCCTCTCACATAAACAATCATCTCTCTCACGATTCTCTTTCTTTTCTTCAGAAAAATTCTTTTAACAATTCCCAGATCTCTCCGTCGTGGCTTGAAGAAAGATTTATCGACCGCCATGATTGTAAAATCAATTCGGTGAACGAAATTGTGAACACGATGATAAATCCGGTGAACGAGATGGTGGTAACGATGATAGGATTCGGTGACGACGATGAGATTCAATGACAATGATGAGATTCAGTGACGATGAGGAGACGAGAAGAATAAAACGACACTGGAAATTAGATGATGGTGATGACGAGATCCGGTGACAACGGTGGTTAGCGACTTATGACCGGCGGCGATGACGATGGTGAAGATGAATTGGAAATTTTGATTCAATTAGTGTTTATAATTGGAGCCCTTGGGTTTAGTAGATACTATTAGGGTTTAGTTTTGTATTTAAAAAAGCAATTGACTCCATTGAGTTCGTCGGAGATGGAGATGGTGTTTGAAATTGACGGACGACGACGTTGCCGGAGGTTGTGTTGATTGAGACCAAAATTCAAGGATAAATGAGTAATTCCATTGAGTCTAGAAATACTTAAATCTGAAGGTCTGATACTCGTTCCTTTTTTTTAATTTTTGGGTCAAAAAATGCCTAAATCAGCAATATTCCCATTGTAATTTGCGTCACTAGAAAATAGTAGTATTATTTTGCAAAACACATTAACACTAAGAATAAATACAAAACACATTAACTTTAGAAAGGATGATATGCATTTGTCATTTGTGAATCCCTTGCATATGCGTTCCCACTTCCCAGACTTGAAATACTGCGAGTCGAAAAAAACTTTCGAAGTTTCGGGTTAACAAAAAGAAAATCATTGAGGAAATAAGACAAACGGGCCAAAAGGCCCAACTTAAGCCCACACAGAAGGTTATACTGTGGTTGGAGATAACAAGATATTCGCTCTTCCGGTAAAAATGCTAGACGACAGAAAAAAAAAAAAAAAAAAAAAAGAGAAAACGCAAAATAGATGCATACCTGTTTAGTGGCGTCCCTACCAAAAAAAAAAAACCTGTTTAGTGGCGTGATCTTTACGCGCAAAGATGGCGCGTAGAAGTAAGCTTTTCGATGAGGGTCATTACACAATTCACAAACTGTATAGATGGATGGATGTTTACGTACCAAACCGACAGCTTCCTTTTTAAGCCACGCGTTCCTCTCTCGGCTTCTTTCTTTTGCTTCCATCATAACTCACATGCCTCTTTTGACCTTTTTCCTTGTCCTAATTTCACTTTCAAGTTAAGTATCATCACACTTATTCACACACATTATTTCCTCTCACCAAATTACATAATTTTTGTGAACATTGGCTTATAACTAAAAAATAAAGAAAGAAAGAGTTTACGAGAGAGCTCCATGCTCTTAACCAAGGCCAAGCCGAGTCCAGAGGTGAAAACATGCAAAGTCAGCAACAATTATAAAAATTTTGGGTGGTCCCCATAACCAGCCTGGTTCGAAAAGTCGGAAAACCCAAAACTACACAACATAGACACACAACCAAACTCATCATCTCTCTCTTAACACTTCCACTTGCCATCGCCGACACTTCAAGAAAATTAAAGAAAAGAATAAAAGAAAGTAAACTCTTTCACCAAAAAAGAAAGAAAATTTATTGTTCCATCTTTCTGATAATCCGATCTTACAGAGAGAGCTCCATGGGTCGTCGCATCTATGGTGGCTCCGCCGTCATTCATCTCTTTCTTTTCTTCTTCGTCCTAATCTTCTCCGCCGCATCTGCATTATCCAAGAACCCGAATCCTTCTTCCGGGTCAGGTCAGATCAACTCAAACTCTGTACTTGTAGCTCTTCTTGACTCTCGTTACACTGAGCTAGCTGAGCTCGTCGAGAAAGCTCTTCTCCTCCAGACACTTGAAGACGCTGTTGGTCGTCACAATATTACCATTTTTGCCCCACGCAATGAAGCTCTTGAACGTGACCTTGACCCGGAGTTCAAGAGGTTCTTGCTCGAACCAGGTAATCTCAAATCTCTCCAAACACTCCTAATGTTCCACATTATACCCAATCGGGTCGGGTTGGACCAATGGCCTCCAGAAGAATTGGGTCGGGTCAAGCACCACACGCTAGGGAACGATCAAGTCCATTTGAGCAATGGAGAAGGAAAAAAGATGGTTGATTTAGCTGAGATTATCCGACCCGATGATTTGACCCGACCCGACGGATTGATCCACGGGATCGAACGGCTTCTCATTCCTCGCTCCGTTCAAGAAGATTTCAATCGCCGTCGTAGCCTCCAGTCAATCACCGCCGTTTTACCTGAAGGAGCTCCTGAAGTTGACCCGAGAACCAACCGTCTTAAGAAACCTGCAGCTCCAGTCCCCGCCGGATCTCCACCGGCTCTTCCGATCCAATCCGCCATGGCTCCTGGTCCATCGCTAGCTCCGGCACCAGCTCCGGGACCTGGAGGCAAGCAGCACCACTTCGACGGTGAAGCTCAAGTCAAAGATTTCATCCACACACTGTTACATTACGGCGGTTACAACGAGATGGCGGACATTCTCGTGAATTTGACGTCACTCGCGATGGAGATGGGTCGCTTGGTGTCAGAAGGCTATGTGTTGACGGTTCTAGCTCCTAATGACGAAGCTATGGCGAAACTGACGACGGATCAGTTGAGTGAGCCAGGAGCACCGGAGCAGATTGTGTATTACCATATTATCCCTGAGTATCAAACGGAGGAGAGTATGTACAATTCTGTTAGGAGATTTGGAAAGGTGAAGTTCGATACGCTGCGCTTTCCTCATAAGGTTGCGGCTAAGGAAGCTGATGGTTCGGTTAAGTTTGGTGACGGTGAAAGGTCAGCATATTTGTTCGATCCTGATATTTATACCGACGGTCGGATTTCGGTTCAAGGGATTGATGGTGTTTTGTTTCCTCAAGAGGAGGAGATTGTTGAATCGGTTAAGAAACCGGTTAAGAAAGTTGTTCAGCCGAGAAGAGGTATGTTTTTCTTTGTGTGTTCGTTGTGTTGATTGAATGATTGGTCTTTTATGTGTTTCATCAAATGGTTTGCTTAATATCGATTTCTGCAGCCTAGAATTGGTAAGTTTAGATGATTAAGCACCAATAGTTTGGTACATTGATCTAGTGTTTGATTGATCTGACTGCAGTAGTCCCTAAGTGTCTGAATGAGCCATGATCTAATCCATAGTTTGGTATCTTGAGAATGGTAGTTTTGTAAGAACAAAGTTAGGGCCCAAGAATTGAAGATGACAACTAGTAATTTGAACAAGATTAGAGTTCAAAGAATGTAAGATTAGAGTTCTTTCATTGGCTTGGTGCAGAATTGCCAAGCCAATTGATTAAATTCCGGATGCTGCAATTGTGAGCAAGAGGGGTAGATTAGAAGTGTGTTAGGAAAGTAAAGATTTATGAGAATATTGGATTGATATCAAACACAAGCAAGAATCGTAGAAGGGTTAAGCTATTTTATGTGTGTGTGTTTGGTCATAGCCATTAACTAGCTGGCTATAAGCAGCTTGTCATGTTTCCTATCTTCAAGATGTTTTGCTAGTTAAAATATTGGGTATTTTATATATAGCTTTTTGTAAAGTACGAATCTAGAATATTATTATAATTAAGGTGACAATAATGGAGAGATAAGAGTGTGTGATTGTGATGGACTTTGACCTAATAAAGGTGTTACTGTTGTGATTGAAACAAGCAGGGAAATTGTTGGAAATAACCTGTAGCATGCTTGGTGCTTTTGGCAAGGACACTTATCTCAGCAAATGCCGGTGAATTCGCAAACCCGCCAAAGTATTGATGTAAACACATTCAAAAAGGTTAGGATTTTTGCGATTGTTTGTTTATTTCGATTCGGTTGTTCATTGATCCTTTCAAGCGATTAGGATGTTAACAGGCATTCATGTCTTTCTCTTTACTCAGCTGATTGAAGGTTGGCCCTGGGGGGATTGGAAAGGGAGGGGGGGCCACCACGGCGGTTTTAAAAAAACCATTTTTCCAGGGAAGGAGAAGAGGGTTTTTTGATTTTTTTTTTTTCTTTTTTTAAATATATTTTGGGGGGGGGGGGGGGGGTGTTTGGTCTTGGATTATGAATACTGTAATTAGATTATATCAATCATTTTTTAATTAATTTGGTGGTGTATGAGAATGAGAGTACAATAAATAAATGGGAAAACAAAAAAGACTTTTTCTTTCACTGTGTAAGGGATTTGTTGTTTTTGCCTTTTTGGAGTCCTTAGCTTTTACTGTGGGGAAAGTATATTTTCCACTTGGTAATGGTAAGAGAATAATTAAATTATAGTCATCACTATGATTAGATGTCTCTGACTTAAGTATTTTGTGAGAATGTAATATAATTATTCTCGTGGACATGGGAAATGAGTTGGCTCAGGCTGTGTTTGTTGATTATTGGAGGAAAAACACAAACTTAGCTGTCTTTGTGGTCAAATTTCTTGTGAGAAATCTCAAGTCTTAATACTGAAGTTGTCTAAATTTTGTTTTTCCATGTGGTCTCATCGATGTTCCCTCAATTATTTGTTGCTTTTTTTTTTTTTAATGCCATTCTACTTCTTCAATTCAATAAAAGTGAATATTTCACAGAATATATAAAGAAAAATAAAAATTGATAGAGTCATTAGTAAACCACCAAGGACCAACTAAAGAAAAGAACAGTTTCGACCGTTATTTTCCCTCCAAACCTTTGTTTTGAGTTGATGTTGGAATTGTTTTAGGTAATTGAGTAAGAACAATGAAAGCCTTGTTTCGATTCAAGTCTTGCTTGTTTGATCCAACACGAAGAAGGAACCCACTCGTTTCTTTCTCAGGTTTCTCAAAGTCATCTAAATCTAATAAAACCCGTGAGACCACCCCATCGAAGATCCAGTCAGAAGCTACTGCAATCACCTCACTTTTCAACGAGATTACTGATATTTTAGGATCGGATGTTGTCCAAACAGATGAGACTACGCGGCTCAGAGCCCATGTGTCAGCACCTGTGTGTGATAATGGAGCATTGGTTTCTTGCACGCAAGGTGTTCGTGAAAATGCTGCAATGGGATTTTCAGGTGAGAATGAAGAGGCTCAGAAAGGTCTTCTTGAAAAAGTTGACTTCAGCCCCGTGGTTCATCAGATTACGAGTGTCGTTAGGGCAGATGATGAAATAGTTTCCATGGAGGACAGGTTAGAGATATTGAGTTTTCGGTTTGAACCCGAAATAGTGGAGAATGTACTGAAGAGGTGCTTCAAGGTTCCTCATTTGGCTATGAGGTTCTTTAATTGGGTGAAACTAAAGGATGGTTTTTCGCATAGAGTCGGAATTTACAATACCATGCTTAGCATAGCTGGGGAAGCGAGAAATCTCGATATGGTAGACGAATTGGTGAAAGAAATGGAGAAGCACGCTTGTGATAAGGATATCAGGACGTGGACTATTCTTATCTCAGTGTACGGGAAAGCAAAAAAGATTGGAAAAGGTCTGCTCGTTTTTGAGAAGATGAGGAAAAGTGGCTTCGAACTTGATGCTGCGGCTTACAATATCATGATTAGGTCCCTATGCATCGCTGGTAGAGGTGATCTTGCGCTTGAATTCTATAAAGAAATGATGGAAAAGGGTATCACTTTTGGATTGAGAACGTACAAGATGTTACTAGATTGCATAGCGAAATCAGAGAAAGTTGATGTAGTCCAGTCCATTGCAGATGACATGGTTAGGATATGTGAGATATCAGAACATGATGCTTTTGGTTATTTGCTCAAGAGTTTTTGTGTTTCCGGTAAGATAAAAGAAGCTCTAGAACTGATCCGCGAGCTAAAAAACAAGGAAATGTGCCTCGACGCCAAGTATTTTGAGATTTTGGTTAAAGGACTTTGTAGAGCTAATAGAATGGTAGATGCTCTAGAGATTGTTGATATAATGAAGAGAAGGAAACTGGATGACTCAAATGTCTATGGGATCATCATCAGTGGGTATCTCAGGCAAAACGATGTTTCAAAAGCACTTGAACAGTTTGAAATTATTAAAAAATCAGGGCGTCCACCTAGAGTTTCTACATACACTGAGATTATGCAACAACTCTTCAAGTTGAAACAGTTTGAAAAGGGTTGCAACTTATTCAGTGAGATGATAGAGAGCGGGATTGAGCCTGACAGCGTTGCTATCACAGCCGTGGTTGCTGGTCATTTGGGCCAAAACCGAGTAGCAGAGGCGTGGAAGGTGTTTGGCAGCATGGAGGAAAAGGGCATCAAACCTACATGGAAATCGTATTCGATATTTATGAAAGAGCTCTGTAGATCATCAAGATATGATGAGATCATTACGCTATTCAATCAAATGCACGCCTCCAAGATAGCTATCAGAGATGATATTTTTTCTTGGGTTATCTCTAGTATGGAGAAAAATGGTGAAAAGGAGAAGATTGATCTTATCAAAGAAATCCAGAAACAATGCAATGCCTATAATCAAGAACTAAACGGATCTGGCAAAGCAGAATTTATGCAAAAAGAGCTCGTTAATAAGTATAATCGTCCACAGGTAGTGCAGCAGTCAGCTCTTCCACCAGCTTCATCTGCTGTTGATAAAATGGATGTGCAAGAAATTTGTCATGTGTTATCATCCTCCCGAGATTGGGAGAGAACACAAGAAGCTCTAGAAAAATTGACAGTCCAGTTCACACCAGAACTGGTAGTTGAGGTTCTACGTAATGCCAAGATACAAGGCAACGCTGTTTTACGTTTCTTTTCATGGGTGGGAAAGAGAAATGGCTATAAGCACAATTCAGAGGCATACAACATGAGCATCAAAGTTGCAGGATGTGGGAAAGATTTTAAGCAGATGAGAAGTCTGTTTTACGAGATGAGAAGACAAGGCTGCTTGATAACACAAGATACTTGGGCAATCATGATAATGCAGTATGGTAGAACCGGTCTTACCAACATTGCTATTAGAACGTTCAAGGAAATGAAAGATATGGGTCTGATCCCGAGCTCTTCAACCTTCAAGTGTTTAATCACAGTTCTTTGTGAGAAGAAAGGCAGGAACGTTGAAGAAGCCACCAAAACATTCCGCGAGATGATTCGTTCGGGTTTTGTCCCAGATAGAGAACTAGTCCAAGACTACTTGGGATGCTTATGTGAAGTTGGTAACACAAAGGATGCAAAAAGTTGTTTGGATTCTCTCGGCAAGATAGGTTTCCCTGTCCCTGTGGCCTACTCAATTTACATAAGAGCTCTTTCTCGAATTGGAAAGCTAGAAGAAGCTCTATCAGAATTAGCCAGTTTTGAAGGAGATAGATCTTTACTAGACCAGTATACTTATGGAAGCATTGTTCATGGTTTGTTGCAGAGAGGAGACTTACACAAAGCACTGGATAAAGTGAATTCCATGAAGGAAATCGGAATAAAACCCGGTGTCCATGTCTACACATCTCTGATTGTTCATTTCTTCAAGGAGAAACAGTTCGAGAAGGTTCTAGAGACATGTCATAAAATGAAAGAAGAAAGCTGCGAACCTTCGGTTGTTACATATACGGCAATGATATGCGGATACATGAGCCTAGGAAAAGTGGAAGAGGCTTGGAAAGCATTCCGCAATATAGAAGAGAAAGGAACTTCACCAGATTTTAAAACATATAGTAAGTTCATAAACTGTTTGTGCCAAGCAGGCAAATCTGAAGATGCCCTGAAGCTTCTGTCTGAGATGCTGGATAAGGGTATTGCTCCAAGCACTATCAATTTCCGGACAGTTTTCTACGGGTTAAACAGAGAAGGTAAGCAGGATCTTGCCCGGATTGTTCTACATAAGAAGTCTGCTTTGGTAGCACAGCGAAAGGTATCTACATGATCTCTCTCTCTCTCTCTCTCTCTCTCTGACATTTTACTGTAATTCTGTATCCATGGGAAGAACCTCATACAAATGAATCAATCAAATCAGATCAATATCTAAGCAACGAAATCTGTAAATACTCTTATTACAAAGTCCTCTGTTCTATGATACTAAACTAAAACATGAAGCTAAGATACTTTAGTTATGAGCCATGATGTGTTCCCTTCAAATGTGACCGGTAAAGCTATAAGGCAAACATAAAAAAAAAACGTGTTCGTTTTTATGGGAGGGCTACTTGCCTCATAGCTTCTTCACAATTTCTTCACAGGCTCGCTCGTAATAAGTCATTCTCTGTATGCATTTTACAGCATCATCAAACCTCTGGCTTTCAAACGCTTCGACAAAAGAGTCAGACCAGTGCTTCAGTTTCTCTTGTACCTTGAGAAAAACAACAAAATCACATTGATTAGATCAGTTTGGTATATTCAACCAATGCCCAAAGCTGCAGATTGTTTTAAGGTGTTTGGAAAACTAACGATGTTAACAAAAGACCGAGGCATCTGTAGGAAGCTAGATCAATCAGGAATTTTCAAGGTACCTGGGATCGGATCTGGTTTAACGCTGTTGAATCATCTGCTTCTGATATTGTCTCTCTGAGTTCCATAATCTGACACCATTTTTAATGAATAAAACTAAGTCAATGTGTTTATTTATGGCAGACATGTATTTGCACCTTTACGGTAGCAGAAAAACTCGCACAAACTAATATATGGCAGCAAGACTAATCTATTGCGAGTAGATCCACTTACCTCCATTAACAATGTCGGGTCTGTTATTGTTTCTTCTTCATTGACATTTACGCCATTCAGCTTCATCTACATAATCAAATAGTTTCAGGAAAACTGCAGCTTTTGAGAATCCTCAAAAACGTAATGACAAAAGTTAAGAAGCTTACGATATACATTGCTCTCGACAGCCGCTTGGTTAATGTCCGGCATGCTTCAGTCACCTTCGCAGACTGCTCGGCTGCGTAATCTCGTTCTTTCTGTTAACAATTCAAAACGCAAGAGCTCATTTTTAAGAAAAGAAGAGTAAAAGAGAATGTAGAAACAAAGAGAGACCTTGGATTTGTTGTGAACTAAATCAGGATGTAGCTTCTTCTGCCAATCTTTGTACTTGCCTTCAAGGCTTCCAGGATCTATCTCATACTTCTTCTCCCTATACAGACACAACAAGTTATTGTAATTACAATCCAAATTCAAAGGTCTCATCTTTTGCCTGAATCCAACTAAAAGTTTAAATCTTTCTATCGTTTCCCCTAAACCCTAGAATCTAATCAACTCGTTACACTTACAGGCCAAAAATCTGAAAATAGTCGACGGAATCATCAACAGGTTGAATGCTACGGCATGAGTTACAGAACAAAAACGCAGCTTTCTCGCCACAGTTCCAGCAGCCGGAGCTTCTTCTCTCCTCGCCGCCAGATTCCGAGCAAAAAACTCTCCCGGAAAATCGGAGTCGTCCCTCAGCTGAAGAATGATGTTGCAGAGATTCGCGAGGCAATTGGGTTTGTGATTGAATCGCAGCAATTGTCGCGAGTGAATTACACCGAGAAGTTAAAGGATAGGTTCGTCTAATAAGAGTGGTCATGGAAGCCACCATCGTCTTTGTTTTCTTCATTACGGGAGACAGAGAGAGAGAGTTCAGCGATTCTACAGAGATCGTCGTTGTTTTGAACCAATTCGATTACATACTTCTACAATCCCTTGTTCGAACCAGACCGGTCTCCAATAATTTTTATACTTTTTGTTTGGTTAATTTTTCAATTATGATACATTTTTTGTAAACGTTTTATTTAGAGTAGAACCTCTATAAATTAATACTCGATAAATTAATAAATATGATTATTTAATAAATTTTGTCCGTTCCAAGTCGGACTAATGTAAAAATTAACCAAATTCGACAAGATAATAAGATAATAATTTTTTTGAAATTCCTATATAAAAATATAGTTCCAGTGATATCATAAATTATATATATTAGTGTTTTTCAAATTTTGAATACACATCATTTTTGTTATAATAGTCGTATACGATTTTTAAAATACAACTATAAATATCATTATTTATAAATTTTCATTTATGTATATCGTTTATATACGTAAATTTTTATAATCTTTGTTATTATTGTCAAAAAAATAATTTTTTTCTCTTCAAAATATTAAATGTTTAATTTTAAAACTATAAAATTTATAACATCCATTGGATTAATTTTATTTAGTTCGCATTGTTTTCCTCATATTTTAAAAAAAAAATTTAAACAATTTAAACAAACTTTTTATAAATTAATATCACTATAAATTAATAAAATATTATGGTCCCAACATTATTAATTTATAGAGGTTTTATTAAATGTTTAATTTTAAAACTATAAAATTTATAACATCCATTGGATTAATTTTATTTAGATCGCATTGTTTTCCTCATATTTTTTTAAATTTTTTTAAACAATTTAAACAAACTTTTTATAAAGTAATTGAGTCAAAGGAGAGGTGGCAATATAGTAAATTTTGATAATATAATTTACCTCTAAATATGACGAAAATACCCTTCTTCTTCAACCTTTCTGTTAGGCCTGGGCAAAATACCCGGAACCGAATACCCGAACCAAAAAACCCGAAAAATACCTGAACCGAACCCGAACCCGATTTTTAAAAATACCCGAATGGGTCCTAACCTCCTACCCGAAAAAAACCCGAACCGAACCCGAACCGAATCCAATACCCGAATGTACCCGAATGTACCCGAATACAAATATACACCTAAAAATATTAGTTATATTTATATTTATAATATCCGAAATACCTAAAATTACAATCATAAATCCGAATATATTAGGTATTTTTGAGTAATTCGGATACATTTGGATATATTTGGTTAAAAAGTAACTAATGATGTAGTTTTCTTTTGGGTAATTTTAGTATTTTTAGATATTTTTGGTTATATTTGGATAAAGAGTAACCAATGTATTTTTGAAAAATCGGATATTTCGGTTAGATTTGGGTATATATGAGTTAAAAACCCGAACCCGACCCGAACCCAAAAATATTTTGGGTATTTTTGGTTATTTTCGGATATTTTGTTTTTTTATTAAAATACCTGAACCGAACCCGTACCAAATTTTTAGAATACCCGAATGGGTCTTGACCCCTTACCCGAATAGACCTGATACCCGAAAAAAAAAAACCGAACCCAAACGGATACCCGAATGCCCAGGCCTACTTTCTGTGCATTTCTTCTTCCGTGCTCCTTTCCTCCATCTCTCCTCTTTACTTGATCTCTCATAATTTGAATTAAAGAAAGATGATTGATTTTATGGGTATTCTTCTCCATTTAATTGGTATTACAATTTTTTTTTCTTTCTCAAATCCCCAAAATCGTTTCTATTTGTTTTCCTTTCTCCATAATCAGATCCTTTTCAATCCATTGTGTAATTTGATTTTTCTCACTCGGTCTTTTTCCTATTCCCAGAAATTGATCGGAGAATCATGTGTCTCTGTGTATGGGTTTGCACCCAAAAACTTATTGGGTAGAAAACGATACTTCAAGATCTAATTTTCTCCGACGATGCGTCTAAACATATGAGGTCCTCGCACCTCTCTCTCTGCTACTTCGATCATAACGCCATGGCTTCCAAAGTGTATCACGGAATGTCGCAGTTTCTTAAATCTCGAAGCAGGAAACCCAGACTCCATCGCTAACCTCTTCTATTTTAATGTAGGGGTATTTTGGTCATCTATTTTTTCTCACTTTCTTGTCTTGCAAACACAAAAATATCTTTAGTATATGATTAATTACTTTAAAAAAAACTGGTATGCACCTAATTGACTCTAAATATTAATTTATAGCGCACTATGGCACAGAAGGTCCTTGAATGAGCCATGCACCATGGCGCACCAAAGCGCGCACTTTTTGGATATGTGGCGCTCCATTAACAAATTCTTTGTATATATAGTTTTAGCCATCAAGGTTCGATATCACTATAAATTAATAAAATATCATAGTCACAACATAGAGGTTTTATTAACAATTCTTTGCATAAAATTCTAAATTTTTATAGATCAGGTTTTCAATTATGATGTTTTGCTGGAAAACTTATGAACTTTTTAGAATCTTAAGTAAAACAGATCCATAATATTCATAAATGCCTAAGAAAAACCTGAAAATATATACATAACAATTAGTAAACAAAAGATAAGGCAAAGTCCATATAAAACAGATCCGATATAAACGACGGTGGTCGACCCGAACTTCTTCCATCACGTTCCTCCTCCTAATTTCTTCTTCCGATCTTCTCCATCTCATCTTCAAAATCCTAACAATTACTCCATCGCCGCCGAATCGCGAGCTCTCCGGTACACTCTCTTCTTTACAATCCCTGTTGTCGGAATAATCTAGCTTAATTAACACTCTTCTCTTCTCCAGAAGGATGAAAATGGCGGTTTTGAGTAAAATCACTTAATGCCACCTGAAGCTCTGTTTCTCCATTAGCTTATCTTGACCTGACTCATCTTCTTGGTTCCTTTAGTAGTTACCGGAGCACGCTCGAGTTACTACCATGTGAACTAGAGTTGAATAATAACGGCGATGGTGTCTCCTTAGAAGACTTGGCCGATTTTGGGAGAAATTGCAGGAGCTGGTTAACTTCTCTGAGCTCGATCAACTTTAACACTTGCTGTGAAATGTAACGATTTGGTAGGTTCTGTTGAGAAGGTGAAAAAGAGTGTGTTGGATAAATGGTTACCGTCTGATCTCTGTGGAATTAAGAGTGAGATTGATCAATGGAGGGATTTCCCAAGTTAGTATTCCTCTAGTGTTCTTTCTTCGATTGTGGGTTCAAAAGCGATTGAAACGAGCTAGTTGGGGACATGGATTCTGGTTAAGAGGATTTGAAATCGATACTTGAATGGCTTGTGGATTTATGATGGAGTCTGATGCTAATTGCGTTGGTGATTATGGGTTGCAAAAGTAGAACACTTGAGTGTCCAGTCTTGATTCAAGTGTTGTCCTTTATGGAGAAGCAAATGGGAAGTACTTTGCTTTAAGCAGTGCATAGTAGAATCTGCCCTCTCATAGGATGATGCAAGCTTGAGTAATAAGGATGTGGAGATGGAGAAGCCCTTTGAGAATACTTCAGCTGGCAAAATCTTTCCCTTCTTCTTCGAGGTACGTTTGATGTCTCCTCTTTTTGCTCTCTAATCTTTCCCGTTGGGATGTTGAGAAATCATGGAAATTGCCAGAAAATTTCTGTCCAGAATTTACTGATTCCACTAGAGAAATTAGAATTGGAATTGGTTTTGAAATTAGAATTGATTTCGGTTCGGTTTCATTGGTTTTGAAATTAGAATTGATTTCGTTCGGTTTGCGTTGGAATTAATTAAGGTTTTGATAAAAGAAAAAACAAAAAGTCACGCACGCGAGGCTTTTTTAGAAAGGAGCGAGTGTGTTTCAAAACAGGCGATTTGGTGAGAGTGGGCGTGAAATCGCGCGATGGGTGAGAGAGGGGTGTGACATGGAGCGATCTGATTGGCTAAAAATATGAAAATAGTAGTGATGTAGCTCCTATCTTCCTCCTCTCATAATAACACTTTTATTACTTTCTTCTCTTTTCGTCTTCTATGTGAAAAAACAAGGTATGAGATGATTACAAAAAACTTTTAGACAAAAATTTTGTCTTGTTTATTTTATTAGCCAGCTTGAGAATGAAATTAAGATTTCTTCAATCTGAAAGTTCATGTTCTTAGATACAATTGAGAGTCTTATTCTCAGGTTTTGGGTTATTTTGAAATCCTTCATGTCACCAAAAGAACACAAAATTTTGTGAATTTGTATGCTGGCAATGTTTCATCATTATAAACGATTCTGTTTTCATAGAGTGAAACACACAACCTTTTGGAAAGTGATTTGACAATACTTTGTTTAACTCTCTTGATAACATCACTTCATTGACCACTGTGGTTTTAAAAGGGATTGCTCACAAACTGTTTTCTTTTTTTCATTGTTACAGCATCTGAATAATCTTCCATTTCCTTTTGAGAAAACAAAGATTTTGATTTCTTGGCTCCTCTGCTCTTGAGAGACCGCCTTTTTTTTTATAACATATTATGGAGCATTAATCATCATATTCTGAGAATTTGATTGATACCAAGGACATTGACTGGAGACATGATCACAACCAGTGCAATCATATGTCTAAATGGCCCATTTATCATCGATCTTGATTCTGACTACTACTTCTACAAGTTCTGTAGCATTGACTTTTAAGTTTTAACACTTAATTATTTCATCAAAGTAGAATGAGGATCCAAAGAAAGAAGACTACATAAATGAATGAAACAGTCAGCTCAAATGAATTGGATCTTGCACTTGGAAGAAGCTGCATGGAGGAGCTTTATTAGCTCATCTTGCTTATCAACTTGAACCTTAACTTTCACAAGTTCAAGACACCTCAAATTCTCCATGAAATGTCTCATCTGTTTCAATTCTCTACAGCTTCCTCCATACCCATAAACCTTTAGTACCTTCACTCGACACGACAATAAACAACAACTTCTGTTCTTCCTCACACGTTTGCAAATGCATACATCCCCACATCCTTTCGTAATCTTGTGCACAAGACCCTGAAAGGATAACAAACACCACACTTAGAAGAACATAAGGAAAAAAAGAGAGAATACAAGGTTTGTTAGTTCGTTTTCAGACCTTAATGACTAGAGTTTCTAGGTTTGGAGATTTCTTGAGCAGAAGTGGCAATACTTGCCAATCACGTTCCTTGTGGCTCTCAAAAGATAACTTAACAAGGTTGTTGAAATCGGGCATAGATTTACAGCAGAAATGAAACACCTGATGATGGATCACACAAAACAAAGCCATGGCTATAACTGAAGTGTACAAGTATATATAGGCAACTAACAATATAAATCACAAGAACAAGAAGAAAAGAAAAGAAAGAGAGAGAGAGATAGAGAGTAAGAAAGTGACCTCAAGAGAATCAGCAGACAAGTGAAGGGTCACAACATTCCTTATCGCTGCAATGAGTTTGGTTGCATCACCCCAATCATCACCCTTTGTAGAATCATACCCAAAATATTCATCTACTAGTGGGATATTCCCATTATACTTCCATAATATAAGATCCAGTCTAGCCTCGACAAGCGAATCCAATTGAACATCATAATCTTCTGAGACATAACTAGAGTAGTCAAGGTACACAAGACTTGGCGTCTCAAGGGCAACCAATGAGTGGGCATCTAGATCATTAGAACGGTAAAAGATGGATGTTCTCTGGATGGATGAACCCCATATATGTTTTCTCCAACTCCCCCGTTGAAGAGGATCACCAGCAAATATGTTCAATTCCTCAAGCAAAGGGCAAGATTCCAGGAGGCAGTCATAAAGATCAACACAACACACTTGAAAGAGAGAGAGAGTTTTGAGTGCAGGGAAAAGCACACCGTGGGGAGGAAGACGGTCTTGGGCGTAAAATCCATGGGAAAGAGTGAGTTTAACCAATGTCTTGCTGAATAAGAACTCAGGCTCTATATATTGGTCGGATGGTGATGACAAGTGTAGTTCCAAGGGTCCACGTTCTAGCACATTGCGGATCAGATGGTTGTAGCGAGAGTGGTCGATTTCAGAATTCCATTTCAAAGAGAATTTCTTGATGGGAGAATCACCAAGCAATACAAGGGTTTTGTCCACGAAATCAAGAAAGCCACCACCACCACTAGTTGCTGATGTTCTGTTGGGATAAAGGACCATGGACTCATCGAAATCAAGGTTATGAACCAGAGGCAACAGATTTCTCCACTGCTTTGAGAGAATTGATGTGGAAGCAGCAAGTTTAGTAGGGAGAAACGACAGAATCTGACCCAAAACCTCATCTGGTAGGCTATTAATTGAACAAGTTTCCACCTTTTTGGCAGCCATAGCCATACCTGAAAAGCAGAGTCAATCAAGTTTCCGAATCTCAATATCAACAAAGGGATTACAAAAGCGAACCTCTACAACAAACAAGCTAACTACACAGTTTATGAGATGTGTGAGGTTATTATTACGAGCAGAAACAAATAGTAAATCACCTTCTGAAACCCCACAGACACACAGAGACAATCAATCGAACATAGTCTGGATCCGACACAAAACCAATAAGATTTAGATCTAGTAAGAAGAAAAAGAAAAAAAAATATTTGAGACCTACCTTGGAAGAAAAGATATCGAAGGTTGGTTTTTTTTTTTCTTTGTTTTTGACAATGGAAATCTTCATCTTACAAGAATTTAAATAAATAAAATATCAGTATAGTAGAGATGTTTTACAATATTTTATTGAATGTATGTGTTATATATATTTAATTATTGTAAATATTGAGAATTATAATACAAAATTCAAATCTACGAGTGAAGCAAAACCAGAGTAAGAAAAGAGTAAAAAGAGATGTATCTGAATAACAAAAACATCTAGTATCACCATAATCTTCCATAGCGTTAGTACCAATTGAAATCACTTATGCACATTACTAGAACAGGGGTTTTGATTCCAATTATTTATTTTTATGCACCAAAGACAAACCATCCACAACCTTTTAGAGATTACTTGTTTGCATCAAATGTGGAATCAAGCATAGTTTCACTACTCAGAGGGTGGTCGCTTCATCTTGAGAAGATGAGAGATACCGGCAATGACATGAGCACGACTACTTGGAACTCCTGTCTTGGCTAAAGCTTGTCCATTTTTGTCCAACAAAACGAAGCAAGGAACATACTTTATGTCATAGTGGAGAAGCTGTATTTTAGACAAACAGAAAGATGAAATCTTGAGTCTTACCAATCAAGAAAATGCTCTGTAATTTGTGTGTAAGCAGCGATAAGAGAGAAAGAGCTTTATTTAGCTTTACCTCAGGAAACCATTTCTCATTCTCTGCGTCTGCCATTGTAATGCTGAGCCAATTGGAATTCCTTTTCTCTATTTCTAAAACAAAGTTGAGCAAAGAATTGCAGAGTCTGCATTTGGGTGAGTAAAATTGAAGCACTGTAGCTTCTTTCTGGCTAGCTAAAGCAGCTGCAAAAGCCATCTGCTCTGCTTCTCCTTGCTCACAACTACTTAAAGGCTTCTTCTTTGGTCTAAAATTGGGGTTTTGACCAAATGAAGTCAAGGAGCTGAGAGCAATTGAACCAATAGTTTGCATAGATCTGAAGAGCCACGGACCTTGAAAGTCGCAGACGCTTGAAGATTTGGGTTGTTTGTTAGAATCCCATGGCCATTTCAAGCAAAAGAATGGATCTTTTGAATCAGACGCGCTAGTAGTCATCTTTGATTCCATCAAGAGTTCCCTTCGACTTGAAATCCACAGCAACGGTGCGGTGATAAGACCAACTACAAGTCGATTACGAGAATGTGACGGTGAAGATCGAGAAATTGGGGATTTGAAAGAAAAAAGGAAATTAAGGTTTTTCTCTTCTGTGATTTAAACCAATCTGGTTTTAGTTTTCAGATTTGGGTATAAAGGCAAACCGAATTGAGAAACCAAACCAAACCGTAAGGTTTATTCTTTATTTCGCCAACTTTGTATATATGATCATTTAATAGAAAAAAAAAAAAACAAGTTTACAAAAATAATCAACAAACTTTTACATGGATCATGCAACTGAGAAGAAGAAACTTAAGTGTAAAAAAAAATTACAATTCCAATTCCTTCAGAGCCAAGACCTGAAAGCAAAGCAGCCGGCTTTACGTTTCCTCTGCAAGCTCAAGTTCTTACCTTTGTTTAACATGCCCTGCTTTTGTCCTGTATCCTCTTCTCTCTTCTCTTCTTGACTAAAATCGATTGACTCTTTTTTTTGAGGAACACTTTCAATGCTCTCCAATACACTCACTTGCTTTGCCTGATCCTCTGCTCTATTTGGCGATAATTCCTCGGTTTCTGGGACCGGCGTTATATTTCTAACCATGTATATTACTCTATCTAGCGTCCCTAAAGCTTGTTCTACCTCTGGACTGACGCAAAACCGTCTTCTGATATCGACATGAGTCTTGGCAATTTCATTTCCATCCTCTGAAAAAACACTTTCCTCAGAATCTTCAACTTCTTCTTCTTCAATCTCGGGAACAGTTCTTCTGCAATGGACAAGTTTATTTTCACAAGCATCTCCATTATTCTCGTGTTCGTTCTTTGGCAGGTAATCGCCATTCACTTCATTGGTTTCCAACTTTGGTACTTCCTCAATTGCCTCATCAGTTGAATATAGGGCTTGACGTATCTTAGTGTACAACGGATCAGTTAAAGCTCTACTGTAATCTTCATCAAATTTAGCTACGGAAGCAACTGACTGTAACATTCAAATACGAAAACATTATCACACAAGTTGCCTACCTGACAGTACACCGATACATTAAAACAAACGAAATCAGAAAACCAAATTGTCTGACCTTTTTATATAGTCTGAAACCGTTGCCGATCAGCTGCCTCGATATAAAATTCATGAGAGATGGTGGGATCAAGTCCAGCTTTATATCCATATCCCCTATCGTTCTACAAAATTTGACAAGAACTAGATTATAAGCTTCATAAGCAAAGACAATTAACATGTTGCAATACTACAATGATCACTAACCTGAAGTAACTCCTCTGTGGAGTAACCTTTTGTAAAACAAATCCGCCTACAAGATCCATCCTCACTGCATCCGGTGATTCAGGTATGACGACGTCCTTAGAGGAAACTCCAATGCTATCTAAATCAGAGATCTAAAAGTTGAAACAAAAATTATCACGAATAATGTCAAATTTTTATACCAAGGATAAGATCAAAAAACATGAGATGGATTTTGCTTTACCGTGTTCAGAAGGATGACGACTAAGCCATCTTTAAAGTATTCAAAAAAGAAATAGTGCAGAATCATCTCTCTTTCCGTCAATGGCCATGGTACCTTCATCCTTTCTTCCCACAATATTAAAATTTCAAGATTAGCTTCATAAGATTCATTAGGTTAAAGAGAAGTCGAGAAACAAACTTCCTCCTTGTGTTCAATGTCAACAAACCTCGCTAAACAAATTTGTTCACCGACCCCGACCTTTTGCAAGCATGTGCTTTTTAAGATCCTGAATGGAGGAAATGCATACTGTGGCCACCTATAAACAACATGCAAAGTTAACATTCATCCAACCAGAAATGAGATCATGTTGTTCACAATCCAAAATCTTAAAGACTGTTACCATTTCTTGTAGAGAGTTGATTCCCACGATACGCATAAACCTGCATCACACAAGTCCAGTAAACATCAACTGCAGAATCATCGTTTAAACTTTGATTCTGCGGTCTCAAATCTAATAAGAAAAAACTTACATTCGTGGATAGGCCCATCCATGTAACCTTCAACAAGTAACGTGTGAAAAGGACTTCCATCGAGCCCTTCACGGTACATAACACGGCAATCTTCAAGATCATGTTTCAACTGCAAAACAAACACTTTTTTGCTACATCGTTACAATCCAAGATCACTGTCGACAAAAATGGAAATGTGTCTGAAGTCCAGAACAAAAAAAACCATACTTTCCAATCACCATCATTGGTTAATTTAGAAACTTGATGATCCGTCATTGAAACACTCCTAAGCTTGCTAAGTAACTTGGATACATCATCTGTTCTTTTATCCAATATATTCTCATCACACTCTACAAAATTCATCAAACCAAAACATAAAACCAAAATCTCAGAAAAGTGAATTAACATAAACAATTAACTCCAAAAATAAAAATCCAATAGAAAAAGCTGAGATTTGAGAACAAAACCTTGAAGCTGGTTTCTGAGAAGAGATTTGAGAGTCTCATGATTGGTGAGTTCAGGAGAAGACAAGGTCTTGTCTAATTTTTCTCTATAATCACAGATCTCTCGTTTCTTCTGCATATCTCAAGCTCTCACCTTTAAAAACAAAAGACCAATCCACAAAATCAGTGATAAGAATCAAAAACCCCCAGAAGAAAATTTAATGATCTGATCACAATTTACAGAGAAAAGAGAAAAAAGAGGGATTAGCACAGAAAGTCCCAACCTTGTGGAGTTCTAAAAAGCTGATTTTTTTAGCTACGAGGACAAAAACGTGACCGACAAGACGGAGAAAGAAGATGAGAAATTTTTTGTACTGTAATTATTTTATCTCGAGAAAATTCAAATCGGGTACGATTCCAGGAGAAGTCGGAGTTTCCAATAAAGGAAGGAGATGATGCGTAATGACAAGATTAATGGTGAGATTAGGCATAAGCTAGTTGAGAAAAAGATAGGGTTTAAGAGGGCACGGATAAGTGTCGGTGTCAGACAAGTTAAGATAGGTGAGAAGATCTATCTCTCTGTCTCTGCCTCTGCCTCTGCCTCTTATTAATCACACCTTCACTCTTCTTTGTTTCTTATTATTTATTATATAAATAGATACAGAAGAACAAAAATAGTCATAAATAGGTAGGTGATGATAATACAGTTGAACCTGAATATTTTTAGGGGGTCCTCTCTTGTCTTAATTTTGGCATCTCTCCTTGATTATTTAATTAGTGTCTATTCACTTTGATGAGCTTTAAATAGAAAAGCCACCAATGAAAATCATATTTACTTAGTGGAATATTCATTTTATTCCGTTCAACTTAGAGCACCATCAATGGACGTTTCTAAACATGATCCTTAATAAATAACAAAATATATATATTATTTAAATATCAGATGAGTATCTTAAATATTTGGAGAAACTTAGCCCAATTGTTTTTTAGTAAGAAACAATTGGGCTAAGTTTCTCCAAATTTAAGATACCTATAATTAAAAAAATATTATTTATTTATACTTACATTTTAATTTTATTTAAGAAATCTATGTTTAGAAACCCTATTGAGGGTGCTCTTAAAATGGTTATATTTTAAGGATTCCACCAAATTTTATCTTTCTAATTACACACATCCATTTGCACTCTGGTTCTTAGCAATACAAAAATGTTTCTAATGTTGTTTTTTTCAGAAGGGTTTATAAGTTCTAATCTTGAGCTAAAGTTAAGTCAGAACCAGACCTATATCAACCCAACACAAAATCTCGATTTAGCAGAAAAAAGCAGAACCAACATAGTTTGTTTCATACACAATGTCGAATGTTAGAATCCGAAACTGTTCACTTTTTGTTTAGTGATTGTTGATGATCACATCAAACAACATACAAAGGGTCACTTAGATTCAGTCACAATATCACAAGTCATTTCAACGAAAGAACCAAAAAAAAGAAGCAATCACAAAGATAAGTAGTAAATCACTCCTCGGGCTCGGATAATTGATCCCAAACATTGAAGATGAGCCACCCTTCAATGGCTGCAGCCTCAAGTTGTTCTTCAGACCCTGCCTTCTCCCCTTTGGCCTCAATCGAATCCAGCTGACCCAAATCAGACCACAAAACTCTGTGTGCTAATTCTCTTGTCCCAAGAAACTCAAGCACCAGAGTTCCACGAGCTTTCACAGCCAATTTCCCAATGTTAATCGCGTTTCTTATCACAAGACCGTGGTTTTCACAAAGCAAGTTCAGGTCTTCCTCGATCTGCACTCCAACAAAAGTAACAAACTTGGAAGCAAAGAAACGGTACAGATCCTTGAGATTGTCATGAAAAGGTTTAGGAAGTCGAAGGAAGAGACATAGGTTTCTCGTGCTCAGCTTCACCGATGACAGACTCCACCCTGACGTTTTGGTTTTGGTTTCAGTCTCGGGAAATCCGACATCCCAATACACATCGAAGATCACAGCTCGGTTTCCATTCAAGATAGAATCTTCTCTTATAAGTGAAAGGTATGGAGAGATATCTGTTGATGATCCAACATCAATGGTCTTGGTCTGAACATAAGAGCCATCAGTCATCTTGAACTTTGGCCCATCAAAGGAGGCCATGTGATGAAGGAACACTAAAGAATTTTCACAAATCAAAGTAGATGCAAAGGCATTAGATTCATTCAACAACAATTGACAAAGATGTAGCACAACTAATCTCACTAGAATGAAAGATACAAACTCAAAATAGTCATATAACTTGAGCACCAAAAAGTTTCCTCTTTTTTTACAAAAACTAGAAGTATTCATCAGCTGGAAAATGCATAAACATTTGGAGAAACTAGGTGAAGAAAGGACCACATATTCAATAAATCTATTCACAAAATGTAGCATCTAACATCGAGTTGATCAAAGTAGACAACTTTTTTTATAGGTTTGGCTACAATTGATTACTCCCCTAATTCTCATCTGAAATTGGAATCATAGTAGTCGAATTCAACATAGAAGAGACATTAAACTGCTGATGGCAAGTTAAGATATCGAAGCAAGATTAAACACAAGGTAAGAAAGCACAGAGAAGAGGAAGACGAACCTTGAAATTTCTGGTCAGGCTAGGGATCGTAGTAAACGAGGAACAGTTCTTGTGGTTTCTGCCGGAAGAGACAAGACTAAATCACTAAATCACAAAATGGAGAGAGACGCTTGAAAATTTCTGAGGCCTTTGGGTACGATCGACGACGACTCATCTTTTCTTCAGCTTGCTTAAACCATGCGTTGTTAATTTAAGATAACCAATCCGGTTCAACCAAATCGAACCGACTGGAATTCAAACGAATTTCTTTACCTTTGACTTTTTTCTTGACTTTTTTTTCTTCTTTTTTTGGGTTGTTGTCAATCTTCTTAGTTATCAACCACCTTTGCCTTCTTAGGTTGTAGCCTTGTAGGGACGATGGACCTGCAAGACAAAAAAGAGTGATAAAGTTTTCAACATTATGGAACACCGATATATTGTTTTCCAAAAATTATACAATTCCATATATATATAGAAAAGGTTTGGAGATATACATTTCCATGATGTTGATGTATTTTTATTACCATAACTATACTCAAAGAAGTTTTTTCACGATAATGTTATCACACTAACGTGAAATTAACATAGGACATAGATTGTGTTTTTTGAGAGAGCATCCCCATATCAATTCCCAAACACATGTGCCCACACAAAAACAGTTGGTGCCAAAATGGTTGAGTTCATAAGGTACATTTCCACACATCATGCTAAAGTTTCACTCTTTTTACACTTCTTTGAAATGTCTATTAATCTTTAGGTATTAGGAAGTACGACATGCATTCAAATTTTCAACAACTATTCTCTCTTTATCCATCACAAAAAAAAAAAAGAAAACACTTACCAATTTCAAAATTTGAATTCAATCATACCTAACTTGAATTAAAATTTGGTCTAGTGCATATTCAAATCCGGTTTAATGTTACAAGACCAAAACCAGGAATTTATCAATTTTATCTTAAACTGGTCCACTTGAAAATACAAAAAAAAACTTACCACACAACACAGGCTGATTTCTGAATTGAGCACAAGAGTTTCAAAGCCCATCAATCATCGCCCAATTTTTGTTATATACCGCCGCTTCTTCTCTGCACAACCTACAAAGCCAAAGCTCTCTTATTATACTCTCTCTTTTACTTTAACAACAAATTCGCCGCTTATCGCCTCCGATCTTCTCTCAAAGGTACGGTTTCGTTTTCTTCTTCTCCGATTCTCGTTTCTTCTTCAGATTCCTTCATCGATTAGCTCTAGGAACCTTCTCATCGGAATTTATTTGTTGTTTTTGTTTCTTATTCGAAGCTTCTTCTGTTTGTTTGATACATGTTCTCTCTTCCAGTTACTATATGGAACCATTCGTTGCAAAGGAGAACATCATCGCATCTGCTTCTTCGCCGATGAAGAAGCGACGGATCGATCACACTGAGTCTACTAAAGCTGATGGTTCGGCGATTAACGCCTCTAACTCTGGTAGCATCGGTTTGAACAATAGCATCGGTGGTAACGATACGGTGATGAACATGGCGGAGTTTGGTAACGACAACTCCAACAATCAGGAGATCGATGAAGATCTTCATAGCAGACAGCTCGCCGTTTACGGCCGCGAGACTATGAGGAAGCTTTTCGCTTCCAACGTTCTCATCTCTGGGATGCAAGGACTTGGTGTCGAGATTGGTAACGCTTTTTTTTTTAAATTTGCTCATTCTTTTCGCTGTTAAATCCGCTTGCATGTTATTTCTGTGCTTGCCCTGCTGGTTGTTAAAGAGCTTCAAGCTTGAGCAAACGTATTCCTGATTAAGCTGTTTGATTTTGTGTGTATACTTGAACTTGAACTTGAACTTGAACTTGAGTCCGTAATATTGGTATTTAAATTGTTATTCCTGATTCCCTGATGAGTTAGTGTGACATTATATGATGGAAGGGTTTATTCACTAGATTTGTGATGAACTAATGACTGGTATAGCTCTTTATTCTCTTCGTTATCTGCTTCTTTCTGATGGATGATTTTGTTTTTCTTATGTAGCCAAGAATATTATCCTAGCTGGTGTGAAGTCAGTGACCCTTCACGATGAAAATGTGGTTGAGTTATGGGACTTATCTAGTAACTTTGTTTTCACGGAGGAGGACATTGGTAAGAATAGGGCACTTGCTTCTGTTCACAAGTTGCAAGAACTCAACAATGCTGTGGCTGTCTCAACATTGACTGGGAAGTTAACCAAAGAGCAGCTTTCTGATTTCCAGGTATCCAAACCCTTCCTTTATTTGGTTTATCTTCGTTTCCTTTTTCTAGTTGTCAATAATACTATCATGATTTATGGACATAAGTTTCTGTACAAAAGATTAGAGGTGACTGAAAGTGGATGAAAATGTTACTACTAAAAGTACAGTATGTTTGGCTTTAGTGGCTGATTTCTTTTTCTTTCCTTGATGCAGGTTGTGGTATTTGTGGATATCTCTTTTGATAAAGCCACAGAGTTTGATGATTATTGTCATAGTCATCAGCCTCCTATTGCATTCATCAAGGCTGACGTTAGGGGGCTGTTTGGGTCTTTGTTTTGTGATTTTGGACCTCATTTTACTGTTCTTGATGTTGATGGGGAGGAACCTCACTCTGGCATCATCGCTTCTGTTAGCAATGAAAATCCTGCATTTGTTTCGTGTGTCGATGATGAGAGGCTCGAGTTTGAGGATGGAAATCTTGTCATTTTCTCTGAAGTTGAGGGGATGACAGAGCTAAATGATGGAAAACCAAGGAAGATAAAAAATGTGAAGCCATTTTCATTTACCCTCGAGGAAGACACCTCTAGCTATGGGCAATATATGAAGGGTGGCATTGTGACTCAGGTTAAACAACCAAAGGTGCTGAACTTTAAACCTCTTAGAGAAGCACTTAAAGATCCAGGCGACTTTCTTCTAAGTGACTTTGCAAAGTTTGACCGACCACCTCTTCTCCACTTAGCATTCCAAGCACTTGATAGGTTTTCGTCTCAAGCAGGCCGATTTCCGGTTGCTGGTTCAGAAGAAGATGCTCAGAAACTAGTGGAAATTGCAGTTGAAATTAATGAGAGTTTGGGTGATGCAAGGTTGGAAGATGTCAACTCTAAACTGTTGCGGCATGTGGCCTTTGGATCCAGGGCTGTTCTGAATCCTATGGCTGCAATGTTTGGTGGCATTGTTGGGCAGGAGGTTGTCAAGGCATGCTCTGGGAAATTCCATCCTATCTTTCAGGTAAAGACTTTTCTGTTTGGTTTTTCAGGGGTGGTCTTTGTATGTTAAACTTCTACGTTGAGCAGTGCTGTTCATATATGTTATATAGGCATTTACTCTACATGAAGCCTATACCAGGACTAAAAGTTTCTCTTCCCTTTTTAGTAGTATTTCTTTTATACTTGGTAATGTGGTAATTAGTTTGCATTATTTGTGCAGTTCTTTTACTTTGATTCGGTGGAGTCACTTCCCAAGGAACCTCTTGATGCATCAGAGTTTAGACCACAAAATAGCCGTTATGATGCACAGATCTCTGTATTTGGGTCTACTCTTCAGAAGAAACTCGAGGATGCCAGAGTTTTTGTTGTAGGGGCTGGTGCTCTTGGATGCGAGTTCTTAAAGAACTTGGCTTTGATGGGTGTGTCATGTGGCACTCAAGGGAAGCTAACTGTCACCGATGATGATGTAATTGAGAAGAGCAACCTGAGTCGTCAGTTTCTTTTTCGAGATTGGAACATAGGACAGGCTAAATCCACAGTTGCCGCAACAGCAGCAGCTGGAATAAATTCGTGCCTCAACATTGATGCTCTGCAAAATCGTGTTGGACCTGAGACCGAGAATGTCTTTGATGACAGCTTCTGGGAGAATTTGACAGTTGTGGTCAACGCTTTGGACAATGTCACTGCAAGGCTTTATGTCGATTCGAGGTGTGTGTATTTCCAGAAGCCTCTCCTCGAGTCAGGAACCCTAGGTGCAAAGTGCAACACACAGATGGTTATCCCTCATCTCACTGAGAACTATGGTGCCTCGAGGGACCCACCAGAGAAACAGGCTCCGATGTGTACAGTGCACTCATTTCCTCACAACATTGACCATTGTTTGACATGGGCTCGCTCTGAATTTGAGGGTCTGCTTGAGAAAACACCAGCTGAAGTTAATGCATACCTCTCAGATCCTGTTGAATACATGAAAGCGATGAGTACTGCTGGTGATGCTCAAGCCAGGGATACTTTGGGGCGTGTTGTTGAGTGCCTTGAGAAAGAAAAGTGCAATTCATTCCAGGATTGCATAACCTGGGCTCGTCTGAGGTACCCTCTATTGGCCCGTACCCTTCATTGAGACTGTTTATAAAATGATTTTCTTTTCTTTACATAAGTGCTTGCTTACTTGCAGGTTTGAGGACTACTTCGCCAACCGTGTGAAGCAGTTATGTTACACATTTCCTGAGGATGCTGCTACTAGTACGGGAGCTCCGTTCTGGTCTGCCCCAAAGAGATTTCCTCGCCCACTCCAATTCTCCTCAACCGACCTGGGCCATATCAACTTTGTCATGGCTGCATCTATCTTGCGTGCAGAGACATTCGGAATCCCTACTCCTGAGTGGGCTAAAGACCCAACAGGACTAGCCGAGGCTGTGGAAAGAGTAATTGTCCCCGACTTTGAGCCGAGGAAAGATGCAAATATTGTGACAGATGAGAAAGCTACAACTTTGTCTACAGCTTCAGTCGATGATGCTGCAATAATCGATGAACTAAACACAAAGCTAGAGTGGTGCAGGAGGAGCTTGCAGCCAGAGTTCAGGATGAAGCCAATCCAGTTTGAAAAGGTGAATCATAATTGTATCCAAGCATCTTTCAAATTCTGTATTTGGATTACGAGAGCAACAAACTAACATTATTATGCTGTTCTTAGGACGACGATACCAACTACCACATGGATATGATCGCTGGGCTAGCCAACATGAGAGCAAGGAACTACAGCGTTCCTGAGGTGGACAAGCTTAAAGCCAAGTTCATAGCCGGAAGAATCATTCCAGCAATCGCAACATCAACTGCAATGGCAACAGGTTTAGTCTGCCTCGAGCTGTACAAGGTCTTAGACGGGTCACACAAAGTAGAAGACTACAGAAACACATTTGCTAACTTAGCACTTCCGCTCTTCTCCATGGCTGAGCCGGTTCCACCTAAAGTGGTGAAGCACCAAGACCAAAGCTGGACTGTTTGGGACCGGTGGGTGATCAGGGGAAACCCGACCCTAAGGGAGTTGCTAGGATGGCTAAAAGGGAAAGGGCTAAACGCTTACAGCATATCATGCGGAAGCAGTTTACTGTACAACAGTATGTTCTCAAGGCATAAAGACAGGATGGACACGAGAGTGGTGGATCTTGCAAGAGATGTGGCTGGGGTTGAATTACCTGCTTATAGACGTCACGTGGATGTTGTGGTTGCTTGTGAAGATGATAATGGTGACGACGTTGATATCCCTCTTGTATCAGTCTACTACGCCTGATTAGAGAACCTTAACGTCCCCAACGAGAGAAGCTTTTAATAATTCCTGTATTCTTGGGATATGAAGTTGAGCTTCAGAGATAGAGAGAGTTTTGATGTATGAGAAATTGAGAATAGAGTTAACTTCTTAAAATTTAGAATTGAATTTTCAAATTTGGTTTTTTAAAACTTATTCATTACAAACATAAAACGATTAAACAATCCTAATACAAAACGTTTTATCAAACTTGAAAACTTTCTCACACATCATAACTCTACAAAGTTAAAATCAGATAGTTATTATTAGCTTATAACAGCAACTACGTACAAAGAGGACATTTCACAAGTCCATTCTCATTACATTCTCTGCATCTCGTCCACATATTATCATTACTAGTCTCCTCATCGTGATGATCTACAAGCAATTTTGAGCTCCCATTGCAGCTAGAACATATCAAAAACCTTTCGTTCTCGCAAGATTCGCAAGGCGAATCAACCTGCGAGATTCCTTCTAGCAGCTTCTTAAGCTTCCCGTTCTCGTTCAATGCCACAACTTCTTCTGCTCCACCAATGTACCTACCTCTAATGAATAGCCTCGGAGAGGTAGCTTTCCCACCAAGCAACCTCCACATCTCTTCTCTAAACTCTGAATCCATGGAAACATCTCTCTCTCTATACATCACCTGGTGATTCTCCAACAAGAATCTCACTCTTCTGCAAGCTTCAAATGTTTTCCTCACACCTCGCAGGCCCGTCGTGTAGAAAACAACCGAATCTTCTCCCCCGGGTGGGCAATTCTCTTTAAACTCCAAAAGAATCCCTCTTTCTTCTTCAAGATTCTGTTCCTCTGCATCTTCAAGCTCTAGTAGTGTTGGTGTAACACAACCTTTGATTTGACTAGATTCAGCGACTATTTCGTCTCTTAGATGATGTATTGTGCGATCAATGGTACTCTTATGAAGAGCTAAGCCTTGCTTCAACGTCTTGACAGTGGTGATGAGTTTGATTTTCTTCACCAACCTTTCCTTCATTCCCTTCATTGCTAGCAAAAACTGGATCTTTTGTTGGAAAGAGAACCAATTCAAGAATCTGAAAAGAGGTTAGAGAAGAATTCCGATCAAGATTAGATCGGGTACGAGAATAAAAACAAAACTTAGTGGCTTATGGGTTCTTCGTTTTCAGGTTTCTTCTTTGGTTAACGTGTGGGTACCCAATTTTGATGAATAAAGTTTCAAAAGCTACTTTCTGGTTTAGCTTTCAAAAGTCTTTCTTGATGGGTTTTCATCAGAACGAAAAGAGAAAGAAATTAAATAAAAAGTCTTTGTTTTTTTTTCTTGTTGATGGGTCATTGCTACAATAATGTAGATGTGATGATAAAACTCACACCTCAATTACAGAAGACAAAAAACACTCATGACATGAGTAATGATTTTACCCAATCAACCCAATTTTGCCAGAAGGCTACAAAAACAAAAAAGGAAGATGCTATAATGGAGCTTTAAGACATATAAACTTTCTGGTTAGAGTCATCGATTGATTTAGCCTGTCTTGTCTTTTACAATTCTAGAAACGTGCAATGATGTAAGATTGGTAAAGAAGCTTAGCTTTATCTAGCTTGCAAATTCGAATTAGTCAAATTTCTATTTAATCATATACTTTACTCTGATTACTTTTTCGCATTACATATGATGGTTGAGACCTTGTCACTTATACCCGTTCCAAGCATTTGACTGATGCCATAAGACCTGGTGATAGATCTTATGGTGAAGGACATTCACATTTGGGGTCCAAAAAGTAAGAGTGCATTCACATTCAGGGTCTTATCAGAAAGAATAACAAATTTTCTAAACTATCTATACAATCACCAATAGAGCTGACGCTGCTCTAAATATCAGCCACCGATGATCTGAGTCCAATGTCGAACGCAAATTTAATGCATGTTAGCTCCTTCTTCTGCGCATCAAGCATCTTCATTTTCAGAGAGTACGAACCCTGCAAGAGAGGTAAGAATAGACTATCTTATCTTCTTGTTTTTGTACCAGATTTTTGACAGTAATATGCAACATTAACACATTCAAACTAAGTCATTATATATCTCCATTTGTTGGAGATACCAAGGTAAGCCTTATCTAAATATATTCTGAATAGGCCATCTATTATGATTGCAACAATTTGTTGGAGATACCAAGGTAAGCCTTATCTAAATATATTCTGAATAGGCCATCTATTATGATTGCAACAAAGCTCTTAGAACCACGTAATGAAGCAAATTGGAGAACTTACAGGAGGAGTATAACCAGGAAGAACTTGAGAGTGTGCAACCAAGAAATCTCCAGTTTGTATAGGACAAGTAGTCTCAGTGCAGAGGTCATGAGTCTCAGAGTGAACATGCCATCCAAAGTACGAAACTTCAATCACGAGCTTACCAAACGAAATCTCATGGCCTTTAAATCACCCCAAAACAATGAAACAAAAGAATCATAATCATAAACATAGCTCTACTAAGAAGAAAGACACATGAGTACATACATCTTAAGCAGCAATCACATTGCCTTTCTAACATATAACAAACACTAATCATAAGCTACATACACAAGATCACTGTACAATCAATATAACCCCAGAATCTTGAGATGAAGTGTTATTACAATAATGAACAAAACCTGTGTTGGCAGAGATGGTGAAAGTAGCTGGCTCGCCTGGGGCAATAGGGTTAGGAGATATATCAACCTCTTTCACTTTTACTTCATACTTTGCGTTCTCTTCTACAATCAAATCAAGCAAAATACAGAAGCAAGTTAGACTAAAAATCCAAAATTTTCGGGAAAAATCGAATTCAAAGCAAACCACGAGGATAAACGGAGGCTGAAACACGTACCACAGTAATGGACATCAATGGCTTGCACAATCGGTGAAACAAAGAGGAGAAGAGAAATAGCGAGAAGAAGAATGGCGATGATCCTCGACATGATTGATGAATCTCTCAGAAGCTATAAGGAAGACGATGGATTGATCAAAGCAGCAGAGAGTGGAGTTGCCGAATATTTGGATTCTTATTTTCAAGGAATGTAGGGAGAGATCTGGACCGTTCATTCAGCTAGGTCAGAGGTTCTGGAAACGGACGGCTCGATTTCGTTGTTTGCTGTAAATGTGATATACTTTAGATTTATTTAGGATAAACATGCTTATTAATGTTATTTATTTTAGTAATTATCATTTACATTTTCTAAATAATTGTTTTTTTTTTTGTTTTTGGGTCTATAGTTTTCTGCAAATACTATTTGCATTGTTTAGTAAAGTTGGCTTCTTCTTTTTTTTTTTTTTAATAAAGGTTTTAATTAGTTAATGAAGTTGACTTTAATCTATATTTTGACTTTAGTCTTTTGCTACAATTAACGGATTACTTATAACGCTTTGCTCTATGAGAAATTGAGAATGATTACCAATAGTTTCTTTTTAAAAAGTTCAATAGTTTGGCACCGGAAAATAGTTTGACTAACCAACTTCGACTCTACAATTTGCTAGCATATATACAGCTAATTAGAATTCTTCTTTTTTCTTATTCTTTATTTATTAATTTTTTCGCCTCTTTTTAGAATATATTATACGTCTTGGTCTTGCTCCACTTCTCCACTAATTAAAACTATTTTTGTAAGAAGAATATAATGCATGTTTGTGCAACAGAACCAATAAAAATCGTGAAACTTTACAGCTTAGAGATTATTATATACTCTAATAAAAATGTCAACAATAATTTCTTTAAAACGCGACGAAGTCAAATATCCATCATTGGCCGGCGGGAAAAGGGAACAACGTCAGCGACAGGTGTCATCGCCGGTGATGGTAACGGAGACGTACGGCAAACGGGACACGTAGGATGAAGCCTCAGCCAAGGGTCAACGCAAGTGTCGTGGAACAAGTGGTTACAATCAGGCAAAACCCTGATCATATCCATTTTTTTGTAATCCGCGAGACATATAGAACAACACGACGTCGTACTGGATTCCTTTTGCAAGCTATAACTCACACGAGCCTCTTCGTACGGAAGCTTAGGAAAACTCTTGATCACCTCCTCGTTTAGCCCCATGACTTCGACCACAACGGTGTCGTTTTCATCACCTTCGAAGTCGAACTGATCTTGGCCAGGTTGTAACGTTCCATTGGTCTCTCTTCGCCGGCGTCTTGTCCTTGGAGTGGTCGTGGGAGAGGCAGAGATATGGCTTCGAGTGCAATAATAAGAAGTGAGGGTGATTGTGGTAATTAGCATAAGTATACCAATGGAGACTCCTATCCCGTAAGCCAATCCACCCATCCTATCTGTGTTCGTTAGCCAGTGGCCGGAGTAAGGTGGCACCACCGTCGCATTCATTACGACGGTCAGAATTTTTTTTCAGTCTGAAGAGAAAATGATGTGTATAAGAGGAAAGTAATGAATGTATTCGGGAATGTATATGTTTTTTTGTCATTACGATGATGAAGCTTCAGAGTCAACGATAAGATGTAGTTATGTCATATAGTTTTGTTTTGTTTTGTTTGGTATATAGGGTGATTTTACACAAATTAACACATAATAACCAGTGGCGTTGATTAATACAGCTTTTACAGATATTCAAATTATTTTTAAGACTTAAATCGATCATTTAGAGGCTAGTAGTTGATCACAGATTTTAGTAACCCATTGAATGTTTTTTAATTATCATAAATACAACCCATTGAATGCTTTTTAAGAGCAATATTATTGGGAGAAACTTAGTTTTGGTTCTTAGCCCAATTTTTGGTGCTTAGCTAAGAGTCTTTCTTTAGCAAAATTATGAATTGCACTTTTAATTGAGTTAAGAACCAAGTTAAGAACCAAATTAAGCACCTCTCAATAAAGATGGTCTAATTATCCACTTACACTTTTGCAACTTTAAGTCAATTTGTGTTACGATGATGGGATATATGGCCATTTCGATCAAATAGTAGTCCATAAGACTTTTGTTAACTCTAAAGAAAAATATCAATTCTTATTTCTTAATTATATATACGTATTATAATAAATCATGGCATGTTGACTGTTGAGTGCTTGAATGAAATGACGTATTTGATCGTCTTGTTGGCTGCTTCTTCTGACCGCTTTAACTACGATATTTGCTTTATTTACTAGTTCTTATTTTTCCACATATTCAAAAACTATAATGTTTACTTATATATATATTTACACAATAATTTGGTCAACCTAATAATTTCTATAACCTACAGTAATATGAAGCAAATAACTAAAATTTCATATGGTTTAACTACACAAAACGTTTTGTAATTTTCACATGCAGTAAATGTTATAGCATTCACTCAAGAATCAAGATTTATTGCGATGATGTGTGCAGTGTGCTATATTCCAAATGAGACATGAAAAATAAAATACGGGTTGCACAACCTATTTGAGTTCTCTCTATGAACCAGGAAAGTATTTTGGTTCAAGATCTTAAGAATATTAATATGTGAAAGAGTATTTTTGAGTGGTAAAACATGTGGTCTTCTCTGTTATAGTTTGTATGTTTATGTTGACTGGATGGACTCAAATCCGTGTCTTCTGATGTATGATTCTCAAGATTTATAATTTTGACTAATTCTAATCATTTCATTTTTAATGAAATATTTACATTTTTATCGGAAAAAAAGAACATGTGGTAACAAAATTTGGTAAGAGTATTGATGACAATTTTGATAGTAGCTAGTTGAAATGCATGTCGGTCCATATCCTATTTATTTTTTTCAACTAGATTCTCATAAAACCATTTTATCTTGTCATAGTATCAAGTATTAATTAATTAGGATTATACTCTTAGCATTACATATATCACATACTAATTATTTATAATGTATTTTACACATATGCACATCACTTTGAAATTTTTTATGTTAAAGACAAATGTAATTTAGATGGTCAAAAAAATAATTGTTAGATAGTAAACATATGTCATTCAAAAATTATTGAAAATGATGATGTGTCTATGCTACGCTGGAGTGGACATATAGTTTTGTACTAATATGCGTATAAGTTTTGGGCTTTATGTATGTGGGCTTTAGACTATCAACAAAGAAATATATTATACATAGAAACGTATACATTTATTGTTTATCTTAAACCTAATTTTGTTTTTTTTCAATCGCCGCTATTACGATGCATTATTTTGTGTCTTGATAATCTCAAAATTCGATATTCGACGGAGTTTTAACCTTGAAATTTCTTAATGGTGAGTAATTCTCTCTTAAATTACATGATACACTATTATCTAGATTAGTTGTCTTTGCGAATTTGAAATATTTGAAATTTACACTTTTGTTGATAATAGGTTCTTGATATCACATGTTTAGTGAGATTCAAGCTTTTGTTTAAGATATATACTGTGTATTTGGAAAAAGTGGCCTAAGTTTGTGTGTGCTTGTTAGTGCTTTGTTTAAGAGATTGTAATTTCATGTAATTAAGTTATAGTAGATATTGTATTGTTGTGGATTGTGTTGACCTTTGTGTGTGCTTGTTAGTGTTTTATCGTGTTGACAACTGGCTATGCACATATATAGTTGCCAGTACAACCGGACGAGAGGACTATAGATAGATGTAACGTCCGATACGGTGGAACCTGTGGAAGCCTACATCAAAATAATATGATTTGATTTGGTAGCTATCTAATATATAGCATCTGATGAGGGGAGGAGGTTTAATTTAGAGCATCTCTAGATCAGTAGAAATTTCATCAAAGAGTAATAAATAAGACTGAAAACTAATACATTTAAATCATGAAGATAGTGAAAACTTTGTTAAGAACTCTCCGATGGGAGTGCTCTTAGGGTTTATACCTTGGTCTATTTTTGGTTTGGGGACTGCAATTGCAATTGCTTTCCCTAGCTCACCATTGTTTACCAAATTCCTCTTGTTAATTCAGTCACGTCTTAATTAACCATGTTTTTTTCTGTTGGCTCAGCAACATCCATTCTAGTTGGATTTGGAAGGTGAACATAGCATCAATATTTAAGGAGGTGCAAGCAAGTGATCGGTAAGCTGAACCTATTAACATCTCATATTTCCTTCTTAATTACTGATATCCTCCATTAATACCCCGATTAATATTTCCTTATGTATCCATTCCATTTTGAATGCTCGTACGTAAATTTTTTTTTTTCAATGTTTTTGTCATTCCTCCTTTTTTACATCCTTTATCAATTTTATTATATTTTCTGCAATCTCAAATTATTAGTGCTTTATCTCATTTCATACGACATATTTGTTTTCACCTATATATGCAGCCATGCAGGATCTTTTAATCAAAAGAGTTCACCTCGCCACAAAACAAAGTTATAGCTACTATATATTTGTTAGGTTGTAAGCCTTGTAGGTAAAGCAAACGCATTGCTCATATTTTAATATATTTAGATAAAGAAAAAATAGACATGTCACATGTTCTTTATTTCTTAAAACATCTTGATTATGATATTTACATTCTAAAGTTTTCAATTATTTTGTTATCTATGTTATAAATATATACGTTAGAAAAATAAAGATTTATACGAATATTTGAATTCACGATGGATTTGTAAGATTATTTTAAATGTTTTTACAAACAACTAACAAGTAGCCTCTAATCAACATCTTTTTCTAGGTCTCCATGGACACTACACTACATGTATTTCCCAGAGTGCGTTGAATCAAAATCGGGTCACACGAGTGCAGAGGGAATAGGAAACGCGATGGCATCGTCTGCGTGTATCGTACTTGGTGTAGCATATTAACATGTGTCGTAAAGGAAAAGCTGCATGCATGTATTCCCTTTTCCCTCTCAACCGCATTTGTTTTTCACATACAAAAATGTGTATATATATCTTACTATTAAAATAAAACAGAAAATTCATAAAGAAAAGAAAGTGCTGAATGTTGATGATACTTAAAATACAATTGACCTATTGTTAAAAAAAACGAAAAACTGCACGGAAATATGATAATAACGTAGAGGAGAAAACATAGAATAAACAAAAAAATTAACTTATGCCTTCACGTTAGAGTTAGGTTTTATTTTTCTTGATTTTTGTTTTGATGTTGTCCATGATATTTTGTTGGAGGATGTTCATGGGACAGAACTTCCGCGTTATGTTTGGTTTTAATTCCTTTTTTAATTTAATAAATCGGGGGAGTCATTGTCTCCTTCTCGCTCACCAAAAAAAAACAAATTTTTTACTAATTAAGTTGCCAAAAAATCCATTCAAACATTTTCCAAGGGAGACTACAACCATGGACATTCTCCCCGTTCAGCCTCTTATCCTTGGATTTGCTTATATAAGACCACACCTAAGATGCTTAGTTCACACCACAAAAAAGAAAACAAAAAAACATTCCAAGTGAGACTAAGCCATGGCTAAAAAAAAGACAGCCTGGATCCGGGACTATAAGACCCGGAAATCCAGCCTAAAGAGGAGATTAACCGGTCTAATGAAGAAAGTGAACGAGCTGTCCATTCTGTGCGATATGCCAGCTTCACTGGTTGTTTTCAATCGAGAAGAAGATCAATTGGCAGCGTGGCCATCTTCCGAGGCGGCTAAGTCACTCATCGACAAATTTTATTCTTTAACGGACCATGAAAGGACCATGAAGGCCGTCGATCCGGAGTCATACGTCCAGACCAATATCGAAAAGATTGAGAAGAAACTAGCCGATACTCGGAAGGTTATCACGGAGCTTGAGATGGAACATCTCATGTTCGACCTCCAAAATGGTCGTGAACTTGCTAATCTCTCCCCAACCGAGGTTGATAAATTAATATCGTATTCGGGTAAGAAGCTTATGTGTTTGAGTAAACAGATGGGTTCTACGGTGGATCATGAGGCCCTGAGGGCTTCGAATGTTGCGTCTGGGTTAGGTGGAAATGGTTTTAACATGATGGGAACTGGAAGAAGTTTCTATTATTTGGATAAATGGGTCTTCGTTGATCCACAAGTCCAAAAACCTTGTGATGATGAGACTCATTTACCCACAATGGTCACTGGATTAGACCTAAACATGGAACCATCTGATGACGTTTATGAAGACTTGGGGACCTATAAAGGAGAGAGCAGCAAGGCCGCTGGTGCTGAAGACGATTCCGAATGAAGCTGCCGTACGTCGAAGTTGACCTGACAACGTGTCTTAAATTTTTCTCGAAATAATGTTGTTCTTTTTCTATTATTGTTGTTTCTTCTTGCTCGTTTCATATCTCTAGTTTTTTTTTCTGTTTTGGTCAAGTTTTTATCATGTCTCTTGTTGTGTTAAACTCTTGTATTTGCTTGTCATGTCGACTTAATTTTAATCGAATGTTTGTTTCTTTACTATTCTTTGCAGTTTTGAAGAACTCATCCGTATTTAACAAATTTGTGCAAAATGTTAGGGCATAGTTTTTTTCTTTCTAAAGCATCGTATTTTAATAAGATAATCATTGTCATGCACGTAAACAATTAGAGAGATTATTATTCTCATGCATCGTACATAGTTTTGTTCATATTTTGACGCTTTTTGAAACTTGATGAAACATCTATATGCTACTTTTTATACTCTATTTATATTCAACACTTAATTTTTCCTTACTATATATAACTAATTCATTTGTTCTGCTATAACAAATTATTTTTATTATTATGATTAGGACTTGTATCCTATTAATTTGTGTTAGTGTTTTCATAGTATTATCACCCAAGTTCAATATCCAATATTGCATGTTGTTTACAATAAAAATTATTCTCATTTAAACGACTAAGTCAACTTGGTTCATGCACCTTAATTCAAATTGCATTCAAAAAGAAAGTTTGATGGGAAAAATGTTTAAACTTTAAAGCTAATGAATATATTTACTTGTTATTTTCTTTCTTTGACCTCTCTTTATTTCCAATAAAAGTAATAAGTTTGACTATCTAAATAATGAAATGTTATTATATGATAAAAGGAATGCATGACCCAAATGTAGGAATAAGAATATTCATATAAACCAATATACATATCATAGAAGTAATTAAAAGGAAAGATATCTTATTGTATTTAAGAAGTAAAAGGGAAGAAATCTCGGTGTATTTAAGAAAAAAAGGAAAGATATCATGTTCTTTCCTTTGACAGCTCATCATGATATTTTCTTAAAAGAGCAGATAATAAAGTCAGGATAAGGTCAAAGAATATTTATGTTAAATTTTAGAAGGAGTGATATCTTATGTAGGATATTTTCCTCAAATTGATGAGTGCTGAAATTGGGTCAAAATTAGATGGGCCGATTTAATCCGACCTAAGTAAACCCAATTGAAATGTGTATGTAGCTCTTCTGGGCCGATTTAAATATGGCTCAGAGGCACTAGCACTATTAGCAAAGTTGTTGTAGAAAAATGGGGCTTATAGTGGGCCTTTATTAATGGGCTTATAATGTCGATCCAAATTGTTAGAACCGACATTTGATAGAAGGGAATTTTTGTAACCTTTTTTGTTTGTCACAACTTTTTTCTTCGAATGTTCTCAAGTCTCAACCAATCAGAGTATCAAACGGTACAAGCCATACCCAATACATTGTTTGTGTAAAGAAACATTGGTGAACACTCAAATTTATCAGAAGGGAACAAAAAACAAACTTGACGACAAAGCAGTACTAGTAGTACTGTTACTTGATGGAGATGATTATGAATGAAGTGGGATCATTGCAGCTTGTGGAGAGAGCACGTCAAGCCAACGCTACAGTTAACTAGAGCAATAATTCTGTCTTTTTTTATGTCACCTACTACTTACTAAAGAAAACATTTTCTAATAAATATTTTTTTAAAATAATATACTCGCATGAAAGTTGAAGGTGATTGGTTGATGAAGCTATTGTTGTTTCCATTACACTTGTTCACTCATCTCTTTCTCTCTCCTTCTCTCTGTGGATCTCTTTGTTTCTAATTTGGAACCGACATAGCTCCCAACTAATAGGAATCTCAAAGCTTCTCACTCTCTTGTGTAAGTTTCCTCTACTTATGTTTTTCTTTATTCCAATTTGGATTGTTCTTGTTAAGCTTCTTCTTCTTTATTGGGTCCTCGCGTATCTATTATGGATCTTGTCTAGCGTTTTGCACATTAATGTTTCGTTTGTCGATTCGATTGTTTAGTCTACTTTTATAGTTTCTCCCAAATTTTCTTTCTTTAGACGACAAAAATTCATTTTCTTGACTGTGATCTTGAGATGGGTTCGTTCGTGTGCTTTGCTTTTAAAACTCAGTCCAAACATTCTTTCCTTGTTAGAGTTTTTATCTTTCGACAAAGATTTCACTGAGACAAGTCTTTAGTTGTTGACTCTTTTTTTGTTCAACAGATCTTTTGTGGCTCTCTTTCACTTTTCCATTGGACTTTTGGACATAAGCTATGCAAACTGAGGAACTTTTGTCGCCACCACAGACTCCTTGGTGGAATGCTTTTGGATCTCAGCAGTTGACTACAGAGAGCCTTTCCGGCGACGCTTCTGATTCATTCACCGGAGTTAAGGCAGTTACTCCTGAGACAGAACAAGGTGTGGTGGATAAACAAAGTTCTACAACTCTCTTGACTTTCTCACCTGGTAAACTCTCAACTTTCTTAAATGGAAGCTTCTGGAGTGTTCTTACTGAAATTCTGAGCTTTTATGTGGAAATGCTAGATTACAAAACCGTAACATGTATACAGCTTTCCAAGAAGACATTACTTCTCTGTTTCTTGCACCTTACAGAATGATTACAAATGCTTTATAAGGTAAATTTATATATTCTGACATTGATTTAGGTGGTGGAAAGAGTTCAAGAGATGTGCCAAAGCCTCATGTTGCTTTCACGATGCAATCAGCTTGCTTCGAGTTTGGATTTGCTCAGCCAATGGTACAGTTTTCTTGCAGTGTAACAATCTAAAAAAAAAAACAACTTGCATTTTGTTCCTGAGTATATGTTTTGTTTTCATTATAGATCTACACAAAGCATCCTCATGTAGAACAATACTATGGAGTTGTTTCAGCCTATGGATCTCAGAGGTCTTCGGGCCGATTAATGCTGCCTCTAAAGATGGAGACAGAAGAAGATGGTACCATCTATGTGAACTCAAAGCAGTACCATGGAATTATCAGGCGACGCCAGTCCCGAGCAAAGGCTGAAAAACTGAGTAGATGCCGTAAGGTAACTTATTGAAACTATTTGTTCATTTTTTCAGTATGCATTCCAAAATGTTGCCTTATGTTATGATGTTTCAGCCATATATGCATCACTCGCGCCATCTCCATGCTATGCGCCGTCCTAGAGGATCTGGTGGGCGTTTCTTGAACACCAAGACAGCTGATGCGGCTAAGCAGTCTAAGCCAAGCAATTCTCAGAGTTCTGAAGTCTTTCATCCGGAAAACAGGACCATAAACTCATCGAGGGAAGCAAACGGGTCAAATCTCTCGGATTCTACAGTTACAAATATGGATTACTTTCTAAGTTCATCGGTCTATTCTTCTGGTGGCATGGTCATGCCTATCAAGTGGAATGCAGCAGCAATGGATATTAGCTGCTGCAATCTTAATACATGATGAGCAGATAGGGGACAAGACAAGATTCGGTTCACCGGTCTTTTGTCTTGTCCCTTATCTTTCAGCCAAATGGAGAGAGAACTTGTGTCCTGAAAAAGGACATTGTGTTTCCTTGGTTTATAAGTTTACCATCCGTTTGGCTGTAAACAGGCAAATCATCTTTGGCTCATCCTTCATCAAGGTCTTTTATCCGGTCTGTTTCCTTCTCCTAATAAAATTTGAACTAGTGAATAAACACTGATGGATTTGGTACTACCTTCTTGTTCCAACTAATGTGTGTGTTGTAAGAAACTCTTGCCTTATTTTCTGATGTTGTAAAACAACTGTAAGAATTTCAAGTTAATGTGGTTTATGTAACAAAGTCAAAGCCAAACTTCACTAAAAGAGCTAAAGCATGAGTATCACATATTACAGAGATGTTTAAGATTGCAGAGACCAAAATTTGCCTCAGAACTAGCTGCCAATCCAGAACAAACTTAGAGTCAATTTAAACATTATTAAAGAAAATTTAAAGAGATTGAAAAAGCATTTCCCTGCATTCTCCCACCACGTTCTGTTTCTCTTTTATTTGTTTGCTGGAATTTGGATCTCCCCAGCTATTTTCTCCTTCAAACTTGCCACGTTTTCCGGTAACGACTACACTGTGAAGTCAATGACTTGCCACTCATCATCGATCGTAGAGGAATCCTGAAAATGTATGACTGCTGATTAGATACAAAGTCAAGTTAAGAAACAAAAGACTCCAAGAATCAGAAGAAAACATTAAACAATTACCGGATGTTGGTCAGCAAGAAACTGGTCTTCTGGAACAGGTGCTGACTCGTTATGTAGAGGCAGTGGTGGGGGAGAAGGAGATGTTTCAGGCATAGGTGGTGATGGGTGCACAACCATACCAGGCTGCATTTGTGTTGAAAGGTGTTGAGGTTGTAGCACGTTAGCAGAATAGTCTTCATCCTCCAAACTAGCAAAATAGTCAAGCAAATCAATCATGGCCATATCCACTCCCTCCTCTTGCTTTTCCAATTGAAGACAATGGAAAAAACCATCAAGAACAGTCGCCGTAAAATCATCACTCTTGCTCAGCATTTTGGAAGGCATTAATACCCTTGAATACGCAATAACAAGCCTATTGTAAAAACTGAACCTGCTACTAGTTGACTCCAAAAACTCAAACTTAGGGTTCTCAACCACTATCTTCTTCAAATCCCGCACGAAATTCATCCCGTACCGCGCCATAAACTGCGCTGTGAGCTTAATAATACCAAGCTCCTTGAGTGTGATCTCCTTTTCAGGGAATTCAAATCCAACACCGAAAGATCTCAGAACATTAGGTTGGATATCCTGAGCTCTATCTTGATTCTGAGCACAGTATTCTGCAAGCTTAAGCTGATAAAATGCGTGATAAGGGTGAGTGCTCCACACAAATCTGTATCTTGTATCATTCATACTAAGTTCCATGAACCTTCTTGCAGTCTCCAACCCATTTTTGGAAACAAATAGTGCAGTCTTCTGGATAAAATTTCTGATTTCTGGAGGTGGCTCAATAGTTGCCACACTCGCAGGAGCTTTATTTGAATTGTTTTGACCCGATTGCAAATCATTCTGTGGCCGAGGTGGTGTAGGTTTCATCATGTGAGAAGGACCTTGAAGATGAGTAAACTGAGATCCAAGTGGACGCAGAATTAGAGGTGGTAGTGGCGGCATCATCATCATTGGAAGGTATTGTTCAGGTAGTGGTTGCAACACGTCATCCTCCACGTTAGCAAAAAACTCGAAAGCATGCAAATCAGTCATAGCCATCTCCACTCCCTCCTGCTTTTCAAGAGCTTGATCAAGAAGCTTGAAAAAACCATCAAGAATTTCCCCCAAACCAGCACCATTCTTTATGGAACGCTTAAACACCCTCGAAAACCCATCAACAAGCCTATTGTAAAAAGAGTACTTGCTATCAGTTGACTTCACAAACTCAAACTGAGGGTTCATTACCACTTTCTTCATCAATTCCACCCGAAAATACTTCCCATACACAGCCACAAACTGCGCTGTGAGCTTTATAATATCAATCTCCTTGCGCGTGATCGTTATCCCTTTAGGAAAGAATGGGAACTTGACAAGTGGAGACCGAGACAGAAACATGTTAGCAAAATACTCATAAGCATGCAAATCAGTCAAAGCAATCTCCACTCCATCCTCCTCCTTTTCAGGCACTTGAGCAAGAAGCTGGGAGAAAGCATCAAAAACTTCCCTCGTACTATCACTCTTCGTCTTCAGCTTTTGGGAAGGCATTAACACACTCGAATACCCGAGAATAAGCCCCGTGTAAAAACGGTTCCTGCTGTCAGTTGGCTTCATAAACTCAAACAGAGGATTCCCAAACACTCTCATCGTCAATTCGCGCCGAAAATACTTCCCATAAACAGCCACAAACTGCGCTGTGAGCTTGATAATATCAACCTCCTTGCGCGTGATCGTGATCCCTAGAGGAAGGTATGCGAACTTGATAGGTGGAGGCTTAGGCATATCCATGACTGGAAGCCTAAGATAGTCTCGTGCATCATCAGTAGCTGGAGTGTCATCATTCATTCTCTCGAAACGACGTGTGCTTTCTGAATCCGCCCAAACTTGATTTGCATTGCTTTGCCTCGATCGCAAATCCTTGTGCATCGAAGGGTACATATTTTTTTTCTACAACCAGAGAAACACTAAAAATCAGATTCAGAGAGAAGGGAGAGAACTACTGAGAGAGAGAGAGATCGAAAGGAAAAAATAAGAGGAATCGGAGAGAGATTAGAAACACCGTACCTCAGCCGCGACTTGGATACCTAAAGCTTGGAAACGAAGGAAGCGAAGAAGAAGAAATCAACTATGAGCCCTAGGCTACTACTATTTAATATCTTAACCAAACTCCTTTGGTGGTTTTCTAATGGGCCTTTATTGATTAGGCTTATAATTTCGGTTCATACTAATTTGTTAAACCAACTTCTAATTTGATAGAAAAGGTTTTGTTCTATGATTTGGATATTTAATCTTTAATCGTGATTCACGATTCTGATTTTTTTTGTTGTTGCAAATACTCACAAGTAAAGTCACAACAGCTTTACTTGATTAAAGTATAGTTTTATTGGAACTTAATACATTCTCTCCTTTTCTTTTAATAAGAAAAAATAAAAGTGTAGGCCAGGTTTGCCGCGAAGTACGCAAGAAGCACTTGTGTCTTCTTTTTTTCTGTTTTCCCTTTGCTTTTAGTGCAAAACCTACATGTGTATATTTGTGTTTTTTTTTTGTTTCTTTTTTTTGTCTGTTTTCCCTTACCTTACTTTTGCACTAACACAACACAACCCAATGTTTTGGTTGGAGATCTACAATCCGAATAACTGTTCGGTTTAATTCTCACTTTTTTAGTTTTATAAAAATTAATACTCTACAAAAATAACTATAGTATTTGTTTGAATTGGTTTTGCTTCGATTTACGGTTTGCTTTGGTTTTTCAGTTTTCGTTTAGATTTTGTATTAAAATACATCTTTAAGGTATAGAAACATTGAATTATTGAAGCTATTATGTATGAAGTCAGTCTATTGAAAAAGTTCCAAGGGTTTCTTTGTTTCATCTGATTCGCTTTTTGCAAAAAGAATGACTATGACGTAGTAGAAGTGTGACATGGTAACGACATGGAAACGTGTGACATAGAAATTAAATGACATGGAAACGTGTTGACGTAGACGGATCCATGCCTTTTGCTATGTGTTTCAGCGAGTAAAGTGGGTTATTTTTAAGGTACGTGAGGGTCGGTGCCGGCTCAACAGTATTATAGGCCTTAAGGCAAAAACAAATTTTAGGCCTTTAGAATTATTTTTTTTTGTGTTCTTTGTATTATATAAATAAATTGTATGATATTTTTATTAAAAAGTTAATTATTAAAACTAAAAACAATAATAAAAAAATTTATGGGCCCTTCTAAATTTTATTTTTATGTTGTAATTTAAAATTTTAATATTTTTATAAAAAAAAAATTAAAATGGGCCCCTTAATTATTGGAGCACGAGATTGGATCCCTGACCGTCGCACTGCTCGCCCCCTATTTGAGCCGGCACTGGTGAGGGTGTAGGGAAGAAGATCGAAAAAAAGTCGTAGTGGGATTAGCTGTTGGAATGTCTGTGATTGCGTTGGTTATGAAAAAATTCTATGCTATATTTGTGTTGGCGTAACGTAAGCGGTGAAAAAGTATGAAAAACAAAGAAGGTAAAAGAGATTTGAATGACGCTAACTACTTGTGTGGAAAATCCACCATGACTCTCTTTTAGGTAGGGCCCAAACGTGTGATATTTCACTTTCCTATTCTTGTACATTCAGTGTTTTTAAAAACTTTTTTCATAGTATAATGTAGTGCTAACTGCTAAGTTCACGTGCCTCACTGCCGCAACGACCACCATAATTTGTACGATGTGAGGTCAATCATTTTTGTTAAACGTATACATACATGTATTATGATAAAACAAAATGTACATGTATGTATATACGAAAAAAAATAATAATAATGTATGTATATACGGTAGGACATACACAATAGAATTATTCGACTTTAATGATAGTTTTGCTTCTGGGATGCGACTATTCCTTTTTTTTCTTTGATATAGTTTTCGTCGTCACTCGCTCTATTTTACTTTTTATTCAAAAGATAGTACTAATCAAGTCTCAAAAGCCCCCGCTCTTTTTCCTTCACACTGCATCATCCGTGGCTCCTTCCCTTATTTATATGTAGTTTCCTTCCCTTATTTATATGACTACCATTTAAACGTATAAAAATTAGCATATATACACATATAATTATATATATATATATACATATAAAGTATGAAAACACTCGGTTTAATAAATATATATATGCAAATGCTATTTAAGCGTTATGCAAACTAGAGAACGAATCTAAAATAATATTGGTGGATTGAAATAGAGAAAATAATATAATGATAATAATCATAGTAACAAAATTGATTTACGACATACTATGTCATATGATTATTAGGTTCATAAGTTACTATCCTAAAGATAAATATTAAAGTGTAAGAATCGCAATTAATTAAGACGACATAGTGGCAGTAATCGTAACTACACTTTAAATATTAATGAGAGAAACCAAACTCAAACTCTAAACACTAGTAACCATGCTGAGTATCACATACAAAATATTCAAATTTATAAATTTAAGATTACAGAGACAACACAAGCCAAACTTAAGTCAGTACAGATAAGAGTTAATTAAGAGATTGAAACGGCATTTCCCTCTGCACCCACAAGCGACGTTCTTCTTACATAGACAGTGTTAGGATCTCTCCTGCTCCCACATTGTAGTGTGCAAGTGATATGTTGTCCTCTAAAACACCGGTTTTTCCACTTATCTTGTGTTTGTTTGCTGGAATTTGGATCTCCCCAGCTATTTTCTCCTTCAAACTTGCCACGCTTTCCGATAACGACTGCACTGTGACCTCAACGAGTTGCCCATCATCGCCGTCTTGAACAACAACCCTGATCCTGATCGTCGAGGGACCCTGAAAAATGTATGACTGCTAGTTAGATACAAGTCAGGTCAGATGGCAAGCATCCGAAGAAAACATTACCGGATGTTGCGCAAGGAACTGGTCTTCTGGAACAAGAGCTGACTCGTCAAAATTTTGTCTCCTTGGCTCTGGTTCCCGTTCCTCAAGTAGAGGCAATCACTAACTTCATCAAACCCAGCCAGAAACCATACCCATACCGCACCAGAAACTGCGCTGTGAGCTTAATGATACCAAGCTGCTTGCGCGTGATCCCTTCAGGATATGTAAATGGATAATAACGAGGATAAAGACCATCATCAGTAGCTGGGGCATCAGGAATACCAGACTGCATTTGTGTTGAAAGGCGTCCAGGTGGTGACAACTCCCCACCCTCCCTGCTAGCAAAATAGTCAAGACCCCCCACAAAAGCATGTGAATCAATCATAGCCATTTCCACTAGTCCATCCTCATCCTGCTTTTCCCCTTTAAGAAGTTTGAAAAAACCCTCAAGAACAGGCTCCTTGCAAGGATGAAGGACAAGCAGCTTCCGGTAAGGAATTAAGACTCTCTCATATGCATCAACAAGCCCAAGAAAAAAAGTAAACCTGCTATCAGTTGTCTTCATAAACTCAAAATCAAACTGAGGAGGAGGGTTCACAGTCACACTAGTCGCCAGAAATAAATCCCATAGCGCACAACAAGCTGCGCTGTGAGCTTAATAATAGCAAACTCCTTGCGGGTGAAACCTGAATACAAGTAAACTGCGAGCTGGATCCCTGGATGGAGCATCAATTGTTCATTCTGAGCTCTTTCTACCTATAAATTATTGGTTTAAGAAAAAAATCGCCCAAACGAACTATCAAATCTACTGAAATAGGTCTGATTAAAAAGAGGAATCGGCAACTGAGGGTTTTGAAGAGAGATAAGAAACAACACCGTACCTCAGCCGGCCAGAACAGCAGTGACGTCGAACGAACGACTTCTTAGCCCTTATAAAGCTTGGAAATCGACAACACGAAGAAGAAATAAACTGAGCTCGAGTCTAGTATTTATCAACCAAACTCGTGTTCCAACGGGCCTTTATTATTTGGGCTTATAATTTCGGTCACTTTTTATTTTTCCTTTTTCTTTTTTTAAAAAGCATTTAACTTTTCTGTGTGAAAGTTTCATAACTTAGCTAAGGGATTAACTATTTAACTATTTAATTTAATCTCTGTTAAGAAATTTACTACTAAATAATATTCCTTTTGGTGTGGATATCTCATCAAAAAATAAATCTTTTTTAGTTTTAGTATTTTTATGTTAACTTTTCATTTGACATTTTTAAACATATCAAAAATTACATCTTAAATATATTCAATTGTATTAACTAGTCCCAGGGCCGGTTATTGGTATGTGCAAGTGGTGCATTTGCACCGGGTCCAACAAATTTAAGGTCCAAATTCATAGTTTTTCTATTATTTAATTATTTAATTATGCTGAAATTTTATAAAATATCCATATGTAAAGGTCCCAAAATTTTATTTTAAAAGGTAATATTGAGGCCCAAAATTAATAAACAAAAATAACATGTCCAAATAGCTATAAAATACAAAATAATTTATGAAATATAACTTTTTGTAAATATATATATATATATATATATATATAAATTTTTTATTAAAGATAGGATTTTTTTTTTGTATGGCACCGGGTCTTACCGATGAGTGAGCCGGGCCTGACTAGTCCTATTTATTAATATAAAATAAAACACCAATAATCTTAATATTTAATACTTCAATCTATTATAAATAATACAATCAAAGTTCTGCATTTTCTTAAATACCACAATTAAGTAAATTTAACAAATATGGTGGAGGAAAATATTGAAGATATGAAGTCTATATGTATAAGGGAAGAAAATAATAATTATTTTCATCAAAATACCAAAATGTTGACAACAAAATATATCAAAACATAATTTTGAATTCTTTATATCTCAGTTTTTCTATAAAAAAATATTTATTGTATTATTGTATTAACTAAAACAATATTTTTTATTCACCTTAATCTATACTAGTATTTTTGCAACACTTTGGTGACGGGTGGGTAAAAATGCTTCCGGATATATCGGATACCCGACCCGTTTTTAAAATTCCTTCACAAAAAATTTGTTGGGTCGGGTTATATTTAACCCAACTCATACACCGAATATTCCATATTTAATAATTTAGATATTTAGAGATTTGATTAAGATTTATAATTATGATTCTCCTATCATCTTTATTTGATTTGTTTTTAACTGTTTTGAATCATCATATAATACATAAAGTAAAAAAAAATCAATTTTTTTCTGCATATACTGTGATTCGAAATTTTAAAAACAGACATATATTATCCAATTGACGAAAATGTGTGTTCAACGTTCTACATCGATTAAAATATTTAGACAAATGATTCAGAATCATATCATAAATAAGAAAATTAATAAAATAAATGAGTTTTTTTGCCGGACGGGTTTG